GAACTGTTCAACAGCTCTTCAGTCATTTCCCATGTTCCTGCCAAATGCGGCTTTGTTATGTTCCAGCTGGTTGTATTCATAGCACAATGGCCTCCAAATAAGGAGCCCTGGTGACATAGTGGGTTAGATGTTGGTCTGTGATTGGAAAGGTTGACAGTTCGAATCTCCTAGCATCTCCGAAGGAGAACGATGAGGCTGTTTCCTCCTGTAAAGGTTATCTCAGAAACCCAATGGAATATCACCAGGAGGCTAAATGGGAGGCAGTGGAGGGCTTTTGCAAATTTACGATCTTATGCTTCTGTTTCAGAAAGTAATCTTATTCTTGTCATTTTTTTTCCGACCCTTTGCTGCACTGACTTTAGAAGAGCATCTTAGGCCGCCTGGAGCATGCCACACATTTATTGTGGTCACCTTAGCAACAGCGACTTTAGATGGAGGAGCAGAAGTTGATTAGGGTCTTTCTCATCTTAAAATTAATTAACAGCAGGAGAATCTGATTATTCTAAATGGTAATTACTTGTCATTTCCACCACAGGATATGAAGCGCCTGCCGTCAGCACCTACAGGTCTGGAGGTTGCTGTGAATTAATTCACTAGGTTTTGGGTGGTGCGCACTCTCTAGTGTTTAACAAAGAGAGCCCTGTGTCATGACCACAGTTGTGATTCCGTCCCACTTTCCCACAAACTATCAGTAACTCGTCAGAGCAGTAAGCCGTTGCCTTTTTGACTCTTGGAGTCCCTTGGGTAGTGCAAGCAGCTGCTGTGCTTAGCCAAAACCTGAACGGACAGAGCTGCAAGCCCACCTAGAAGCAAGACCTTGGAAGAAAGGTCTTGTGACCCACTTTGGAAAGAATCAGTCTTGGAGACCCCATGGAGCGCGGCCCTGCTCTGACATGCATGGGTGCAGTGTTAACTCCGACTCACAGTACCTGGCTTTTGTTATTGTTGAGTCTCATGAAGAAGGCTTCAGACTCCTAAGAGTCAGTGATTTTATCACCACAAAATAAACCCAAAGGCAAGTGGTTTGAAACCACCAGCTGCTCCCCGGGAGAAAGGTGGGCAATCTCTTCCCATGCTATTCACAGCCTCTGAAAACCCTCCAGAGGGTCGGCCATTAGTCACTTCCGACTGAAGGGCACGTAACAAGAACAACATGTAGATTATGCAGTCACTGGGCAGCCTCCTCCCGTGTGACTTACTGCCTCTGAAACCCTGCTGGAGGGTCAGCTCACAACCACTCAAACCCACAAGTAAATAAGAAAAATGCACTTGCTAGGGATTTTTACTTAGACCCTTATCTCAATTTTGTTGACCTCAGATTATGTGTAGAATGATACTGAGTTGGCACTTGTCTATCTCGTTCTCTCTCTAGTTTTCCTGGCTTTTCAGTGCTGTAGAGTTGGTTCTGCCTCCTGGGGACCCTGGGGACAGAGTGGCCCTGGTTTCCAAGACTGGAATCATTACCAAGGCAGAGCGCCACACCTTTCCCTTTCGGGAATGGCTCGTAGGTTTGAACCACTGATCTTCTGGTTCACAGCTGTGACACCGGGGTTCATTTAAGCCTCTTGCCTTTGAGTTAACGGTGGCTCCATCTTTATGGAAACCGATGACCAGATCTTCCCCCTTTCAGTTGGCAATCAGGCGCTTAAAAACTCGGCCAGCTCCTGTATGTTGTCGCTAAGTGTCGTCAAGTAGGAAATGACGCGTCAGTGGGTTTTCAGAGGCTGCAAATCGCCTTTCTCTTCCCCCAGAATGGCTAGTGGATTCAAACTCTCTGCCTTTGGCTGGCAGCACAGCTTTTGACCCCTGGGCCACCAGTGCACCCTCATATTGTCGTTAGTTCTAGTAAGTAAACGTGGCGATGGGGCTACATGAGACGGCCTCCTCATAGCTACAGAAAGCAGGACAGAAGCAATACCAGCTTGACTAGAACCCCCCTCTGGGACCCTCTAGATTAGAGGCAAATGACCTTATAGACATCTATGACTCTTAAAAACATCCTTGCCTCGTCTACAGTAAATGATGTTATTGTTGTCAGTGGCTGTGGACTCAGACTTGGATCCGCAATAGTAAGTTATATGCATTGAAACACTGTTGTTGTATGTGTCGTCAGACTCATAGCTGACCCTCCAGCAGGTTTTCCGAGACTGTAACTTGCACTACAGATCACCTGTCTTGCTCCTGCAGAGCAACGGGAGAATTTGAACCACGTGCCTTTGGATTGGCAGTGCAGCTCCTTAACACTAGGCCACCAGAGCTCCCTGTCAAAACACTAAGTTCTGTGAAATAGACTTTTTTTTTGAGGCAAGGAGCTATGTAGAACATTCTAGAAATATGTGGTAAAATAATACCTTTAAAGATTGGAGTGCATAGAAAGATAGACATAGAGTCACTAGAAGTCAGACTCAATGCCGGTAGGTATGGTGTTTGTGTGGGGATGTGTGAAATACTTCATTCCCCGAAACTGCCAGAAGATTGGGGCGCTGCTTCATGAAAACATTTCATCAGTCGTGTCTGTGCTCGGTAGCCTTAGTACAGCTGCTTCATTGATGCTAACCTCGTTGTGCAAATGTAAATATGTCCTGCTTGAAATCATTGAGAGAAGAATGTTTTCCCTCAGCAGAAAATTGGCATATCAAAAGTCAATGAACTAATGAACCGCGTGATTTGTCTGTTAAACATCACTCAGTGTGGCTTGTCATTGCGAACACACTGATGAGGACGCCACCAGCCACCAGCTCATCACTTCAGCTTGCCAATAATACTTGGGAAGTTGAGCATTTTGAAAGCTGTTCTTGTTTTTTAGGGGCAGACACTTGGGGTTTGGGTTTTGTTTTATTTTGTTTTGTTTTATTTCATTTTGGCTTGTTTTTAAGAGGGCAACCATTCTCTTTAAAACATCTGCCCTAAATGGAAAAATTGAAGCTCTGAGGTCTAACCATGTATCCATCCGTTCTCTAAGACATTGCTCATAGTGGAAAGTGAAGGCAAACATTAGATAGAATAAAAGTCGTCTGGTACTAAGCCAAAAACGTCATTCAGGAAAGCACGTACAGACAGACACGTGCACACACTCACAGTGATTTCCTTTAATTGTGGTAAAAGACGCATAGAATTTACGTTTATGTGATTTTTAAAGTGTACGGCTCAGTAGCAGTTAAGTTCATTGACAATATTGTGCGGCCGTCACTACCATCTAATTCCAGAACAATTTTCATCACCCCAGAAGGAAAACTAGTAAGCTGTCACCCTCCAGACCCTCCCTCCCCCAGTCCCTAACAACCACTAGCCTGATTTCTGTCTATGATTTTGCCTGTTCTGACACGTCAGATAGAGTCACCCACTATGAACTATCTGTGAGTAACTTGTTCCACATACCACGATGTCTTCAGAGTTCATCTGTGTTGATTACAGAAAGCTGTGCGAGGGTTTACACGCAGCGAGAATCAGTCTTAGAGGGCTGACAATGATGAGAAAGGAGGGAAGAGGAAGCTACAAATTACTAAATAGATACGATGGAAAAAGGAAACAGCAATCCACAATAAGTGGTTGATTGGACAGTGTTATTAATTACACTAATCAATGATAATTGCTAATTAATGTTCTACAACAAAATGTCTATGAGTGAATGAATGGAAACCCAATGTGATTGGTAAACTTTTCCCTCAAAACATCAAAGTTTGTCTGCGTTTAAGGAAGTGACAGAACTGCATTCCTTCCTTCCTGTGGCTGAATGACATTCCATTGTTTGGCTCAACTATATTTTTTTGTTTGTTTCTCCGTTCTTGCCATGTTGTTTTGTAATTGGCCTCAAAAATATTTGTAACTGACAGACATGGATCTTTTTTTTTTTCTTTAAAACCAAAGTTCCAGTCACCCTAATTGACTTTTGTGCCCTGAGATTACTACACCACTTGAAAGTTGAGCAACACTTAGGTCTATGTACTATATTAAACATTACTCTGAAGCATAGATCACCCTCTCTGCTTAACCATTGTAATGTACCGAGATGACATTAGGGTGGCCCAAGCTAAATATTTCCTTCTGATCTGAGTTCAAGAGAAATGGCCCTTTTGCATTGTGTTTGTTATCCAGTGACGCCTGCAACATAATGTATGCTATGAGGTATACTAGAGGTAGCTTCTGTGTGTCTTTACCTGAGGTCTCGTGAGAATCACGCACCAGGTCATTCTCAGAGGAAATGACACCAAGATCTGCAGCAGGGGAAGCCCTCCGGACTCCGCATCCTCATAATCATGTTCTCCCACCGCACTGTCTGTTCTGGGGAAGAACAGGGTCAAGCCACCCTTCTATCCAATAAAAAACAAAAGAGGATCATCAAGTCCAAAGTCAAGGCTGAGCCAGAATATGCAGTCGGTTCTTGGTTGTAAAGCAAGGTCTCCTCTCTACCCTTGGCCAGTGAGCCAACAGGTTATCCACAAGAAGACAAAACTCAGGTTGTGGGTGCATAAAACATGGGTGCCTAGACAGAGAAAGAGCGCGAGCGAGCAAGCACACACTTGCCTACTCACATGCCCATATGCGCTGACTGAGTGCTACAGAGATTAGCCATCATTTTAAAATGATCAGTGGCTCTCATCTCTACCTCATTAAAAGAGATAATTAACAATCATAAACTCAACGTTAGATCTGGCCAGCGCCTCCTTTTCCAGTTACGCTCAAAGCTCTGTATCAAAAGCAGCATTTATGGGCTTTCACAGTGATCACTTTCAAAGCTCCTTGGAAATATGTGCACGAAGAGAATGGAACATGCTGTTTGTGGTTCTGGTCTGGTGACTAAATGAAACGTATTAGTTTATGGGCATGACAGGGGTTTGATTACATCCCTAATTTGCATTTCAGTCTCGAATTGGACATGCACAAAACATTTCATTTTTGAGGGGGAAAAAATACTGCTTGTCCGAAGGCGGAAAACAAGTGCTAACACAGTTTGCGTTGTGTGACAGATATTCAGAGAAAATCCTTTCTGTTCCTTCCAGTCTCCCAAGTCAGCATTTATCAGTGCTGCTAAGAAGGCCCGGTTGAAGTCGAACCCAGTCAAAGTGCGCTTCTCTGAGGAGGTCATCATCAATGGTCAAGTGTCGGTGAGTGTCCCTTGGCTTCACGACTCACAGAGAGTCACCGTCACATAGGCCTTATACTCTAGGGGAGCCCACTGAGGTGATCCACTGGGGATGGCTGCGGGGTCCCAGCCGATCTTGCCTGCAACTGTATCCCCTCTTACGTATCTAGTTTGCGTGGCAGACCAGTTTTTTTCTCACACACCTTCGGTGTCAGACACCTCACTGGCATTGCCTTGTATTTAATTAAAATATGCCTCCTTGAAATTTCCGCCTACTTCTTCCCGCTCTGCCGACTAAGCATCCTTTCATGTGACATTGTGCTTGTTGAGAAAGGTTATTATGTTTTTCCTCATGGTTTCCTTATCCCCTCCGTCTTGCCCTTAAATAAAGTTCTGGTCTTTCAACTAATCAGAATGGCAAAGTGATGGGATGGCTTTTTAAGTGCAGACACACTGAAAAAAATCCCGCCCAGCTCTCTCTCCATCAGTGCGTCTGGATAGAAATCCCAGTTGTCGCCGTATAATTGATCTGCAAAATGAATAATGTCAACATCAATAGGATGCTTACTTTTCAACTTTTCCCACCAACAAAACGATCACACATAGCATAGTGTGTTGGAGCTTTTGGAAAGCTCTCACTTTAGGGCCTCATTTTCTTCTTGTTATCTTTGACATAAACTCATAGGAATAAAACCTGCTCCTTGATAAGCTCATTAGAGGGTCTCACAGTCCCTGCTGGGGCAGGCGCAGGCTTTGGATTTGGAGATATGGGCTTGCTCTTTCTAATTGTCTCTGTTGTTGTGTACCATTGAGTCAGAAGCAACCCATAGCTGGCCCACCAATAATGGGTTTTCAGAGGCAGTTAATAGCATGGGAGGAAATTGCCCATCTTTCTCCCCCAGAGCTGCTGGTGGCCTCAAACTGTGTGCCTTCAGTGTTCTAGTGCGGCCTCTTGCCATTAGGCCACCAGAGTTCCCCTCCATTTGTCTCTAGAGATGCCAAAACCAAGTGCCACAAACTGGGTGACTGCAAACAACAGCAAAGCTAGAAGCTTCCTTGTCCTGGAGACTCAGAGAAGAATCCAGGCCATAGGGCTGTTTGCCATATCTCTGAAGGCTCTAGGGGAAGATCCTGCCTCATCCTTTACAGCTTCTGGTAGCCCTAGGTGTTGACCTGTGGCCTCACAACTCCAATCCCTGCCTCTAGCTTCACACGGAGTTCTCCCCCTGTGCCTGATTCTGTCTACATCTACTCCTTTTCATCATACGGGATTAGAACCACCTCTATTCCTGTATGACCTCATGTGATCTGATGATGACTCCAAAGACCATAGATCCAAGCAAGGTCAGGTTCCCAGGTACTGGGACTTAGGGCTTTACCCTGTGTTTTTTTTTAAATAGAGACACAGTTCAGCTCACACAGTTCAGCCAATTATGGACCAGGCATTTTCTAGTCAAAACTTACTCACTTACGTTTGCCCCACTTAGTCTCCAGGTCAATCTGTCAAGTGATTGTGATGCTTGTGGATAGAGCCTAGAGGTTACCACTGTGCTGGCTTGTGAGCATTTCAGGCCCTGCTTGTCCTCTAAGTCACCATCTTCCACCCTATCCACCTATACATCAGTTAGGGCCTTTCTTATCTGACCTGTTCGTCTCAGCTCAGTGAATCTCTGCCATTCAATATCAGTGATCCGAAATAAGATCCTGGGTTAAGGTAGAAAGGTTCCAATCAAAGAAGAAGCTGGCCTTGGCCATGTGTATATCACAGAAGCACATCGGAAATGTCCCTTGCCTATTCTTCCTGAAGCTTTCCAAGGTAATATTAGGTGGACAAACAGTCTATGCATTTTCTGCAAGAACAGAATTCTAGAAGCTGCTCTTGCAGTTACAGTTTGTTCTTAAATGTAGTAGGGACCTTGTTTGCTGAAACTGAAGTGAATCTGAAGCATTTGCTGAAGAGGGTCAAGGACTGTAGTCTTCAATATGGATTGAAGCTCAACATCAAGAAAAGATTCTCACCACTGGGCCAATTGGCAGCACCATGATAGATGGAGAAGAGATTGAGATTGTTAACAATTTCAGCTTGCTCGGTTCCACAACCAACACTCTTGGCACCAGCAGCCAGGAAATCAAAAGCTGAATTGCACTGTGAAGATCTGCTGCCAGATTTAGTACTCCAAGGTAATGATGTCTGGAGACTAACGTGAGCTTGATGATCCAGACCATAGTCTTCGCAGAGAGCTGGCCAATGACAAAGGATGATACTAACGATATTCTATGCATCAGAGAGCTGGACAATGGCTAAAAGATACTAAGGCTGAGTTGTGGTTCTGGAGAAGAGTATTAAACATACCATGGACCGACAGGAGAACAAACAGGTCTGTCCTGGAGAGGGTGAAACCAAGTTTCTCCTTGGAGACAAGGCTTTTGAAGCTCCATCTCACATACTTTGAGCATGTGGCCAGGAGGGAACATCATGCTTGTAAGGGTGGAGGGCCAGCCCAGAAGAGGAAGACCCGGGATGACAGTAACTGGGGAAATGGGGGTAGATGTGTTGGAGTCACTGGCTCAGGACAGGGCAGGCTTCATAGGGTTGCTGTGAGTCACAGGCGACTCAACAAAAACAACAGGCCACATCCTAGGGAAACTTCTCTTACATGAGATTAGCACTGTGATGGAATTAAGAGTGTTTCATTTCATCCTTAATCCTTTTACAGCTATTTGGTTTATCAGTTCAGGGGGGATCATTACTTATCTTCCACATTATTGTATTTGGGGCTATATGATTCAAACTATGACCAGGTGAAAAATGGTTTCATGTAAGATAATTGCACTTGAAGCTGGATAAGAGTGTGACTGGGCACCAACAGACATGCTATCAGATGTTATCATTGCCAGGACAAGGTCTGGTCAAGACATCTTGAGGGTCTGCTAACCTCAGGGCTGGTTACACAAAATAGATTAATTACAAGGGAATTATTTCTGTGACTGGGTTTACCAGTGAAGAATCTTGGGTTTAAAGCAAAGCTCATAGCTGGTCTGACTGATGATTTTTTTTCCCTGTTAGTGTCACATCAGGGATTGTGAGGATGGTACAGAACCGGACAGGGTTTCATTTTTTTAATAGAGCTGGCTTCACAGCACCCAACCAGCTGAGCTTTTTGTAGCTAGAAGAGACTAAGTTGAGCAAAGTGCGCCTTAACTCTGATATCAGCAAAGGGACACTTTCCTTGGCCGTGTAATTGTCAGGTACCACGGAGTCAGCACCGACCCATAGCTGACCCTCCAGTGGGTTTTCAGAGACAGTAAACCCCACAGGAAGAGATCACCCATCCTTCACCCACAGAGCGGCTGCTGGATTTGAACCACCTGCCTTCAGATTGGCAGCAGAACTCTTTGGCACGAAGCCACCAGAGCCTCTGGATTGGTCATAGTTTGCCTGATTTTTTGTTTTGTTTTGTTTTTAATGTTCTGATTAGAATAACTGTAGACAGGAGGAGCGGACGCTTGCAAGAGCAGAATTCTCATTTGCCTGACTCGCTCACTCACACCTTTCCTCCTTCTTTTGTTAACTAGGAAACTGTTAAGGACAATTCACTTCTTTTTATGCCAAATGTTTTGAAAGTCTATCTGGAAAACGGGCAGACCAAATCATTCCGTTTTGACTGCAGCACCTCCATAAAGGTAAGGCGAGTTGCGAAGCTCTGTAACCAGAGGGCACCAGGTAAGGTGTGTGCGCGCAGCAGACGGTGGCTCTGCTGAGTGTGCTGTTTGCTTCCATGGGAGGTAGCAGGTAAATCCTTTAAAGCAAGCCCAAACCGAAAAGCTACTGCTTTGGAAACTTCTGCTCTTTGCTTTTCAGTGTCACGGAAGAATGCACGGTGACACCAGGCAACTGTGGGTGCATCACTTTGACAGGTCTGGCTAGTTTTCCACTTTGGCCAGATGCACTTTTGCCACTTCTCTGTCTTTCAATTACTGGAAAATATTTGTGTTTTTCCATCTCTGACGGCTTTCCCCCTTACACAGGTTCCTGCTTCTGCAAATTTTACTTTCATGTGAAAAAACGCTAGGGCCAGTCCTATTAATGCAGCTGCAGATTCATTAGAGCAATGTGACTGTCACCCACAAGGCTTGGCACCTTGCCCAAAGCCAGCATGATTTCTCAACAAAGTCAGCCGCCAGGAAGAATAAGACGTTAGCTGTTAATTGAATAGCTGCTACGTCGGTGTCCAGCGAAAACAAGAGAGAGAATAATGTAAAGATAACACTTACTTTTAATTGCTGTAAGTAGTTTCATGGAAATGATGCAGATACAGACAAAAACGAGGCATGCTTCTTAGGATGGGTGGGAGGGAGGAGTCACAGAGCAGTTCCGTTCATTCCCAGCCACAGGTGAGCATTAAGCCAAAGCCTATGGGTTTCTTTTCTGATTGTCCCTTCCCAGGGTGGGCAGGGGAAGGGGAGGGGGAAGTACATATTCTCTTTTTTATTAGACAAAAGTATATTCAGAAATGGATTGCTCCCTAATGCCCCACCAGCATTATAGATGGTTTCTTCAAATGGCACAATAAAAAGTCTTTTATTTGTGGGGGTACCACTTTGTGATGCTCTCAACAATAATCTATCTAGAGAGCATTTGACTCTGTTAAAAATGGCTACTGACGACCAACCCTCAGTTTTGCCTGGCTTTTTAAAATAACTAGTTAGTGTAGCCCTTATGGATGGAAGCATTTCTAGGAAGGCCCTTTCATTCTTATTGTCAGGATACCCTCAAGCAGCTTGTTTTGAATTGCTTTGAATGTGTGGTGATTTAGCAGGTAATAGAGCAGACAATATAAGTAGATTGATGTTGGAGCATTTAAATCATCCCTAAATCGTTCCAGATGAAATATGAACCTCACCCCTACAGGACTACTAATTTTAAATGGTAATGGTTGAAAAAGCCCTTTTTTCTTTTTTTTTTTCCTCCTCAATTTCAATTTATAGTAAGGTGAGTAAACTAACTACTGATCAACTAACTCACGGAGCAGCAGAGGGTTGTTTGTTGTTGTTGTTTTCTGTGTAAGGCCAGAAAATAAATATTTTAGGCTTTGCAGGCCATCTGGTCTCTGCTACAACCACATATAGTCCTCATTTATCAAAATGGTTAGGTTCAAAGACCAGATTATTGTGTGCAGATAGGCATCATGCAAAAATGCAGGATGGCCACATCCAGTCACAAGAAGGAGGATGACTACATCATTACATAACTGTCAAACCACATTATAAAATAACTACCAATTGAAAGCAGGAGTGGCATCCACACTTCCTAAACAACATACATGCCTCTGGAAACTCTATGAATTTTGATAAATGGCAATAGTTATCAAAAGGCTTCAGGCCTTTTATTCAGAGGGTCACTATGAGTCATACTCAACTCGAGGGCAATCAACAACAACAACAGCATAACTATCAAAACACTGGAAAAGATGGCTCATCCATGTTGATACAGAAGCTAACCATCACAGCCAATGTTCTTTTCATGTCATGTCCTGGTGTTCATTATAACCACATGTGCATCATTAATATGCAATATCATCACATTGTAGACTTATTTTACTATGTCCTAAATGTGAAAGGTTGGATAGCAATGCAATGGCTAAGTGAGGTATCAGTGTACTCTGTTGTGTCATGTAAATGAATGGACATGGCCAGGGGTATCCCCAGGATAATAATCTGCTGACCACTGAACTCTCCCTGACACTGTCTCCTGTTTCTGTGTCACATGCTAGTCAGAAAAGCTCCTTCCTGTTAGAGGTAATATCCAACCTGAAGATGTAGTTTGAGCTTCAATGTAGTTCTTTTAATCATTTATTTTTGTTGTTAAAAACACACACAGAAAAGCATACATGAATCCAACAATTTCTACATATACTGCTCAATGAAATGGATCATTCTTCAGATCACACAATCATTCCCATCCCCCTTTTCCCTATTATTACTCTACACACACTCCCTTGCCCACTGATCTTTCTTCCTAACCTTTCCAGACTGTTGTCAATTTGATCACATATAGATAGGTCTTTAAAGGAACATGATGCTCAGGGGAGACTTTCTTTTCTAGTAAAGTTAAATAAACAATTGTTCATTTAAAGAAGATGTCTGGGAATATTTTTGGTTTAAGGTTTAAAGATTCATCTTGGGGCAATGTTTTAGGAGTTTATTCAACCTCCATCGCTCCAGAAAGTCCAAATTCCATGAGAATTTGAAACTCTGTTGACTATCTTCTCTGAACAGAGAGAAATCTAAGTTTAAAAGAGAGCCATGTGGGTAATTCCTTTGCACTCCTTATGACAGGAACCCACACTAGACTGAATTCGGCTTCCCTGAGGATTGCAGGTGGCGATGAAACGATAGAAAGTAACACAAAGATTTTGGATCAAATGGGAGTGTTCTTGTCCAGTACCCTCACAGCTAATTATCACAACAGACCCAGGAGAGTAGGTGTAAAATAAAACCAGTACAGCTATGAGAAAGATGTAACACCGGGTAATTAAACATTGCCCAAATTCTTACTTCCAGACTCGAAACAGGGAAACTATTGCTATTGATTTTCTAGTCTTCTCCCTCATGATTCAGGACAATGTTTTCTAAAGCACACACTGCTACACAAAGGACTGGCTCTGTTTTCTCTTCCCTGGGCCTTGAGCACGAACTTCAAAGCAAAACTTCTTCTTTTGTTCCATTCACCATAGTCAAAGCATTTTTATTGAGTGTTTTTAGAGGACTTAATGAGACTTGAATAAGTTGGAAGAAATCCACAGAGAAGAATGAAAACACTGACCAGGACATAAAACTCTATGACAATTCCTCCACCTTGGGCCTGTTGGCATTTGGGGCCAGATCGTTTTTGCTGTTGAGTTTGTCCTCTGCGCCGTGGGATGTGCGGCAGCATGGCAGCATGCCTGGTCTCCACCCCCTAGCTTCGAGTAGCATCCCTTCTTCCAGTCGTGACATCGAATTATGTCACTAGAAATAACCAGATTGTCCCTGATTGAGAATCACTGCTCTAATGTTTGTTAGCAACTGAGGATAAACTATCCTAAAGAAGATTGAAGGAGCACTTACTCGTTTGTAGTACATGAAAAAAGTTTAAATTGAGGAGACTAGTTTGGCATTATAGTAAGAGTACGTGCGTGTGTGTGTGTGTGTGTGTGTGTGTGTGTGTGTTAATTTTATGATCATAAATATCTAATCCTGTAAAAGATGGTATACTCATCACTCCTTCCACTGAGATTTAATCTAGATTGTCATGTTTATTTTTATAGCACCCTGACTCTGTGCCAAAGAAAAATTGAAATATTAATGCATTTAATCCTTGCCATTCTAGTGCAAGGATTATTATTACAAAGATACAGGAAGGTTAAATAACTCTGCCAAAACTACACTGCTAACAAATGGTAGTGCTGAGATTTGAAAGCAGATGTTCTCTTTCCAGAGTCCATTTTCTTAACTACTAGCCCACTTCCCTTCCGGAAGATAGGCAGAGGCAGGAAGCCTGTCCTGTAAAGGATCAGGTAGTCATCTCTGTTACAACTACCCGGCCCTGCTGTTGTAACATGGAAGCAGCCATAGACAATCCATAAGCAAATGGGTATGGCAGTTTTAAAGAAAACTTTGCTTACAAAAACAAGTGATAGATTATGGTTGGTCCAGGAGTTTGTTTACCAAACCTTAGAATCAACCACTTTCACAGCTAGTTTGAATGTCACCCTATTTGGAAGAAGGAAGGCTTGAACTTACTACACCATACAACCTATTGATAATCTTTCTAACTTGAGATCTCAGGGGTAGTTGTGTTCCTCCTCCAACTCTTTACCTTGTTGCTTGCCTCTTGTTCCTGAAGTCCGTAAAGGTGTTGGGTGGTGAGGGAGGCTGGGGAAAGGGCACAGGAAAGAAGGTCTCATTTCTGAAGGCCTTTTGGATCTTCAGAGTGTCAAGCTTCAAAATCAACTACAGGTATAAAACCTAAAAATTCAAAATCTTCCTACGTTGCACTTTTTGATCACAGTAGACTCAATGAGAGAGCCACCTTGTTGATAGTGACCCCATGTTATCAATGTTTCCTCTGTAAGGATGTCATCTTAACCCTTCAAGAGAAGCTCTCCATCAAGGGCATCGAGCACTTCTCCCTCATGCTGGAGCAGAGGACCGAAGGGGCTGGGACCAAGCTGCTTTTGCTTCATGAACAGGAGACCCTAACTCAGGTCTGTGCAACCTACCCTCAACTGATGCCAGAGACCACCCTGTCCCAGAATTCCCTGCCTTCTAGGCCTGTACCGGAATTCATTAACGGGAGCCCTGGAGCCCCACAAAAGCAGTTCTGCAATCTCTAAGGGGGTTAACACCTCAAGGTGATGTTTCCCATGTGGTCCATCTTTCATGGGCCGACAGGTGTCCTCATAAACACATCTGTCATTCCGAGATTCGGTGGCTCTGGAGAATTCCATTTTCTGGTCTTGCAACAACTTGTTTTATCTGATTGAAAAATTGATCTGTGGGAACCACTGCAGAGATATCGTTCATAGATCATTTCAATTAAGCTGAAAGTATAACTTGTTGCTTTATATTTTGGGTACATACTGAAACTATTTTTTTTCCCAAAGCCTCAAATCCCTGCCCCAGCCCTGCCCACTGGAAATATGTGCACCGCCCATGTGTCCCCGCTCCTAGTTACCAAGATGCCACTCTCATGTGTTTCCTGGGGAAAACACAGGCTGCTTGACAGTTGCTCTGAGCACAGTCCCTCCCGAGTTGTCTTATAACTCCACATGGAATCTTTGTTGGGATTCCAACAAAATCTTCCTAAGTAGGAGAGTTCAAGGATGAGGGAACACTGGGAGGTGAGGCAGTGGGATCAGGACATCATCATACACATGGAGTGCCAGAAGGTACTGCCACCCCAAAGCACGTCTTGGCTGTCCATAATTAAAAGGTGCCCTGCACATCAGGTATCAGGCCACCTCTGAGGAATACCCCCCTTATATCAGGATCCTTACATTGCTTCTACACTATATCTTTACACACATGCATTTGGTGGGGACACCATTCAGTCCATGACAATGGCATGTTTGAGTCCATTGTTGTGACTGTTGATTGTGGGGCCTTCTCGTACTCTAGCACTATACTGGATGCTATTCAGCTGTGCTCCATAGTATTTTGACTGGCTAATTTCTGGAACTTGATCACAAGGCCTTTTTTTCCTAGTCTGTCTTAGTCTAAAAGCTCCACTGAAACCTGTACACCGTGAGTGGCCCTGCTGGTATTTGAAATACTGGGAACATAGCTTCCAGCCTCTCTGCAAAACACAAGCTACCACTGCAAGGCCAACTGTCAAATGCGACCCTGCTATTCATATCTGCTGTTGTTGTGCGGGCTGACTGTGATGAGTGTTTGCAGTAAATAACCTTCAACTTGTAGCTGGAAGCATCAGGGAGCTAAGGGCAGAACAGTGGCAACCTGCCGCTGTGATTATAATGAAACCCCAAGCTAGATGTAATGTAATAGAATTTCACAAGCTTTTGGTATTTCCTGCTATACTCCGCCCTCTAAAAGCATAGCTTTTATGGGACAGCTTTAGGCCAATATCCAAAACCCACTGTTGTGGAATCCATTCTAACTCACAGCAATCCTAGAGGCTTTTCCAAGACAGCAAATCTTCATGGAAGCAAACTGCCTCATCCTTCTCCCATGGTGCAGCTGCTTGGGTAAAATAGCCCTCCTTTTGGTTAGCCCTCTAGTGCTTTAATCACAGCACCACTAGAGCCCCTCATGTGCATATTGTTGGACAAAATATTATTCCTTTAAAGTCTCATCCAGTGCCAAGTGTCTATAAATCCTTTCATTCCAGATTGATTGCCAATTTGTAAATCTCTTCTTTTTATCCTTTTATTGTGATGGGAGTGAAAGTTTACAAAGAGTAAAATCTCTTAAAATGTTAGAAGGAAACCAACCAACCAACAAACAAACAAAAAAAGAGCTCTCAACAGTGCTTCTGCCCTTATCATTCTAGGAGAGACCTTTTTTAGAATCAGGAACCAAAATCAAATTACTAAACCTCAAGTATTATCTCTAGAGGAAAAAAGCAAATGGTTGCAACATCCTGAGACAAAGCAGCTGTTGGCCTTTAAAATCAATACGCATTAAAAATTCAGTCAAGAGAATATTTATAGGTATAATGGAGATGGGGCTGTAAGTCTTAAGAAGCTCTCATTTGCCCATTAACAGTACTCAGTTTAAAATCTTTAATTCTGAGGAAAATCCCTAAAGGACTTTTTCAGCAAGGCTACCTGCATTTCTGATAAACTTCTTTCTAGAAAATATTGTGATTTGTTTAAATAACATTTCAAGTTTCCAAGAAAGTATTTGACCTTTTTTTTTTTTGATGCCACAGGATCAAGCAGGGTTTCGTTCTGTTGTCACGGGGTTGCTGTGAGCCCCAGCTGTCTCAGTGGCACCTAACAATTGTTTTTCCTTCTAACTTTTACTATGTTGGCCATTGTGGTTGTTGTGACCATGCATAGCAAAGCATTCAACAGTTCAGCAGTTCAGGGACAATTTACAATTGAAACTGTTCCTTCATATACAATTTAGGGACATTGAATGGATTGTTGGAGTTAGGCAACCTCCCCCATTCACATGAACTCACTGCCCCTCCAGCTGTTGTCACAATTATAATAGCAGACGTTTGGGGTTGTTTGGAAACTTTTGGGTCTCAGGTTTAGCGTGTGGGACACAGGTTCTGTCCATACAAGGGTGGCCCCACCCTATCCTATGGTGGTGCACAGGGAGAGGAACTTTGAAGACATGCAGCAGCGCCGTGCTCTGCTGGCAGACCCCTTTTGCGAGCTCCCGGGGCCCTTCCCCTGACTTTGGTGTGCCCGCCTTTCTGACAGCAGCACCTGCAGGTCTTCAGAGGTCAGCCCTCAGGTGACTGGAGCGCATCTGCCCCATGTCTGGAGGCAGTCCGTGTCCCTAAGCTCTGTGCTCATCCGCTAACCTAAAGGGTGGCAGTTCCAGCCCACCCAGTTGCACCACAGAAGACAAACCTGGCTACCCTGCTTCCATAAGATCACAACCAGGAAGCCCTTCCTCTGGAGCATAAGGGGACAGAACTGGACAGGATACCGCGAGACAGCAGTGTGATACCGTGAGACCTGCTGCTTTGGCTCCAGTCGTGGCTGCTGAGGGGTCTAACTCACAATCCAAGTCCCCTCCAGGATCAGGCCAGTGGTCGCCTGCTCGCCTTCCTCTCCTGCCCTTTTCACTGCCCCCATCACTTGCTGGCCTCTCCCAGGAGCTTTGAAGCCCTTCCCACACACTCTTGCCTCTGACATTGGTTCAGGGGAGGCCAGCCTGCATGCACGGTGTGGGAGGCTGTGGCTCTGTAGGACTACTCAAAGGGTCTCAGTGGCCCGGTCTGTGGTCAGAAGACGTTGCCTCTGCTCCTGTGCCCTCCTCCTCCTCAGCTCAGTCCACACTGAAGGGTCCCTGAATGATTGTCTGTTCCTCTAGGTGACTCAGAGGCCCAGCTCCCACAAGATGAGGTGTCTCTTCCGAATCAGCTTTGTCCCGAAGGACCCAATTGACCTTTTACGGAGAGACCCAGTCGCTTTTGAGTATCTCTATGTTCAGGTAGGTGGAAACTTAGGGCATGTTTCATGTTCGTGGGGGATAAGTTAACTTTGGTCTTAATCTCATGAATTGAAGGCCTTGTTTATCTTTGTCACTCAAGCTTAATGTCTTCGAAGGTGATTTCTATGGTGCTCTTTTTACTTTTTATTTAGGTATAATCTTACACTTAAAAAAATGATCCAAGGTTAGGACAAGAAATCTTCACCCATTTAACCACTTTTACTTTGTTTCGAATGTGTCAGTTTTCTCACACATACATTTTACACACTATCAGCTCTGAAGGCCTAGTGGTAAGGAGTTGCGCTGCCAACCCAAAGGCAAGTGGTTTGAATCCCCCAGCTGCTCAACAGGAGGGAGATGGGCAGTGTCCTCCCATGTGATTAACTGCGTCTGAAAACACCCTGGAGGGTCAGCTGTTCTGACTCAACAGCACACAACAACAACAACAACAAGGTAATACAGATGGCGAAAACAGCTGCCCACTTCCTGATCACCCTCTCCTGGAGCAGTCGGTGACTTCCAGTCACTGACCTTTTCGGTCATGGCCCATGGCTCTAACCTTAGCACCACCAGAGCTGATTGTGATATATTTGGTGCCTGCCAATGACACGTGTATGTGTCCGCGCACACACACACATTCACCCTCTCAAAACAAACTCCCTGCCATCAATTTGGTTACAGCTCCCAGGGACCCTAGTTACTGAGCACAGTAGAAGTGTCCTCATTGTGTTTCTGAGGCTTTTTGTGTGTAATTGTTCAGAACCATATGAAGGCCATTTTTGCAAATTTTGCCCCTTTACCCATTAATACTTCCGTGTACTTCCAACACTTACTAGAAGCAAGGAATTCAACCTGGATGGATTATCGTTATTTGCTCTGCAGTCCATATTCAAGTTTTAGCTGTTGTCCCTAAAATGTTCATTACATTCATTTTGTTCTAGAACAACAATTCATCCAAGATCTCCATTTTCAGATACTTGTCTCGGTCTTCTGGAATGTTCCTCGGCCCTCCATTGACTCTCGTGACTTGGAGGGCCCTGAGGAGAACTGATGGGCTCTGTGTGGAAGTCTCTCAGTTTTGATTCCTCTGATGTTGTCTGCACGTTAGACTAAAGGGAGGCAGTTTGGGCAGAAAAAGAACTGTGGTGATTTTTGTCTTCGTCAGTGTGTCCTATCAGGAGGAGCATGATGTCCATCTGCCCTCAAAATAGCACAGTCAGCTCTCACCCAGAGCTAAGGCATTCAGTTCCAAATGTCTCTATTCTAAAGTTACTCCTTCTCCATTCATAATTAACATGTAGAGGCTCTCCTGGCAGCTCTCGTTATCCTGGACCTCATCAAACTTTTCCCCAGTAGGTTTCATGATCCTAGACAATCCTTGTCTAAATCCATTATTACTGTGATGGTTCAGAAATGAGGAGTTTTCTTCTTCCATTATTTTGTCTGCATACAGGCTTGGAAGCGGGAGTGGCATCCACTTGCTAAACCACGTGCCTCCAGAAATACTGTGGACTTTGAGAAATGTCAATAGTTGCAGAGGGGCTTCAGGCCTTTTGTTCATATGGTCGCTATGAGTCGTGCTCGACTCGATGACAGTCAACAACAACAACAACATAATAATAATAGTAATAATAATAATAATTAGCACTAAACTGGAAGAATGAACTTTTTCCTTTATTTACTTAGTCATTCACTTATTTGTGTTTTGATTGTTCTGAAATGTTATGGTATTATGATGGTGGAATTCTTCATTTCAAGGAGCTAAGACTTTAAACTAAGGCTTTGCCCAGTACATCTAAACCTGATTCTGGCATCTAATTCTCAGAAATTGAGGCTTCCAGGAATGAATATTTGGCAGCATTATTTTTTTCTATTTTTAATTTTTCTCATTAATGCTAATGAACATTTAGAGGGACTTTGGATTTCCATTCATTCATTGTTGAATTTTTCTCCCTGCCCACCCCGACTCCCCCCCAGTTTGCTCTTCTCTTTGAAAAGTACAAACAATTTCTTTCATTGGTATACAGTCCCCCCGCCCCAGCTTAATTTTTCTTTTCTTCAATGGCAAGATTCCAGTTTGTTCTTTAGGAGACATTCCTCTATTTTTATAAAGCTACTTCCCATTACTCCCACTTAAATTTCCAGGATGGTCCCTTGAAACAGTAAGAGCTCTCTTCCCTAGTGTTTAAACATCTAGCTTCAGAACTACCTTGCCCTAAAAAAAAAAAAGCAAAGGTAATACAGAAAGAACATGCTCTTTTGAGCCGGCCATCCCTGCATGAGGTAACCTCACAGGAGCTTCCAGTAGAAAAGGAGAAGCAAAGAAATGGGGAGGAGACAAAAGAAACCCTTGTGAACTTTGGGTGATTAATAAACTGGCATTTATTTCACTCTTCTCAGTATTTTGTGATATATTTGAAAGCTTTTGTAATCTTTAAGAAGTGGAGTAGGAGGAGGAAGTAGATGGAAAGACCTGTAGGCAAGAGATGTGATAGGTTAGAAATGATGATATGAAGTGCCAGCGAGCCCTGAAATTGAGTCCAATAAAAAAAAAAGAAGAAGAGAACCTCTTCTAACATTCTGGGAGATGCAGGCATTCAGGGAATGGCTGTTTAAACATTCTCCACTTTAGTGAGTTTGGGAAGAGACTGTCATATTTACAGCTCAGTGGGATGATAAATGTTCATGCCGAGCACCCTGAGACTTCCCAGAAAGGCAGTCCTCCTCAGAAAGCCCTGCTCAGTGTGAGTAACGAATCTTGGAGAGCTTTCTAGAAAGTGTTCCACCAAGCACAGTGAAATCATCACTAGCTGGGTTCTCAAAGTGTTTCAGTTCGGCTGTCTGAACCCCTCACTTGTCTGCAGTAGCCCCTTTTCTCCAGCGGGTAACCCAGACGTCAAGGCATGCTGGGACTAGCCTGAGCTGCAGCCGAACCGTGGGTGCCCTTTCCCCACGTCCTCCCCGAAGCACCCCGAGGGTCCTCCCTGCACTGTGCACTGTGTCCTGTGCTGATTAGCCTGGTTGCTGTACATAGTTCTAGGTGCCAGTCCGTGTGTGAGTGGAGACAATGAGGTGCATTCAGCTGCCATCCTGTAGGATTATAGGCCCAGCTCTTTAACAGGATGATGCTTTAAAACCATTTTGCTCCTGAGTCTCTGTGAAACATCACAACAAGCCCTTAGCAATCTTTAAAAGAAGTATGTGGTTGGGCTTGTCTCGGGGAGGGGTGACCTCTAAAGCAGACAGAGTGCAGCTAAGTACAGTTCTATGTGAGGTGTGTCTGCTCCTTCCTGTCAGATGGAGTTGATGGAGATGGCTCTTCTGTCAAAGGACACAGCTGTTATACCCAAGAGACTGGTCTTGGAATTGGAAAAACCTGTCTGGAGATGTTGCCTGAGCATATGTGTGCTTCTTTGCATTGGGGCTGTGTGGCAGGTGGAATAGCCACCTCCTTGTGGGGACTGGGGGTGGCAGAGAGGGGAATGGAAAGCCAGGAACGGTGGGGGACAGAAACCAACATCAAGTTACTGTCATCTTATGTCCACTACTGTGAATATGGAATCCAAATTTCTTTGCCCCAGACGCACCACTTCTAAATGCTTTGGATCACAGAATGTGTGAAAAACCTAAAATAGCATTATAAATAATAATTCATAATATGAACCATAGATCTGCAAATGGTACCTGAATGTTACTGTGGCTTTAAGGTACAATAAAAGTAAATTGTAACTGCTCTTAGGCGCCACTGAGTCAGCTTCTACAATGACCCTGTCTGTGTACAACAGGCAGAATGCCTCCCCTGTCCTGCTCTGTCCTCACAATTGTTACAGCCACTGTGTTGGTCCATCTCCTTTTCATTAACCTTCTAGTTTCTGAAGAATTATGTCTTTTCCAGGGCCTGGCCCTTCCTGGTGAGGTGAATGTGAGACAGAGTTTCACCATATCTGCTTCTAAGGAGCAGTCTGGCTTCACCTCTTCCAAAACAAATTGGTGTAGTCTGTTCTTCTCTAACTCCACAATTCAAAGGCATCAGTTCTTCTTCCGGTTCACTTTTCTTCGTTGCTAAACTTTCACATGCATATGAAGCAATTGAAGATACCCTGGCTTGAATCAGGTACACCTTAGTCTTTAAATGGATATCCTTGCTCTTCAGCATTTTAAAGAAGTCCTTGACAGCAGATTTGCCCAGTGTAATATGTCTTTTGATTTCTTGACTTCTCCTTCCATGACTGTTGGTGTTAAATGCCATTAAATATGACTCATACCGACCCTATGAACAATAGATTTGAACTCAGTCCTATCCTGTGCTGTCCTCATCAGCCTCTACACACTTGAGTCCATTGCTGCAGTCCAAGACCCAATCCATCTCATTGAGGGTCTTTCTCTCCTTCGCTGACCTTTCCAAGCATCATATCCAAGGAGTAGCCTCTCTTAACAGCATGTCCAAACTATGTGAGATGAAGCTTCACCATCTTTGCTTCCAAGGAGCACATTCTCCAAGACATATCTGTTCTTTTGACAGTCCATGGTATATTCAGTAAAATTCAACTGTATTCTTTCTTATATCACTTCTATTCACTGTCCAGCTCAAAATTGCATAGCAGGTAGTTTGAAACACTGTGGCTTGAATCAGATGCCTCTTAGTCTTTAAACTGACATCATTGCTCATCAGGACCCCAGAAAGACCTCTGACAGCAGACTTTCCCCAGTGCTATACATCTCCTGACCTCCTGACTGCTGATACTAAGAGTGTTAACTGTTCCAGATCCAAGCAAGATAAAATTGTCGCAATTTCAATCTTTTCTCCATCTGTTGGTCCAGTGGTGAGGATTTAGATATAAAATCACATTGTTGTTGTTATGTGCTGTTGATTCGCCTGTGACTCATAGAAACCCTCAAATGGACCTCTTGGCCTTCTAATGAGGATAGTAATCACTGACTAGGTGAACCATGAAGATGAAACTGGTCTCAAAAGTGATAATATATATTCATCTCTGAGTCATTAATGGACCCTAACACAGAACATTTTAACAGTAAATCTTAGTCATCTCTTGTTGCTGGTATGTGCCTGTGGATGGTAGATTAGATTTAGCCATCTGGGGCTGCTTCCCCCCTCTTGTTGTTATGTGCCATCAAGTCGCCAGTGACTCAGAACAAGGGCATGTAAAATAGCTCTGAAGCCTGCCCTGGCCTGAGCCAGTCTCACTCACACCGGCCCCTGTTACCTCAGTTACTGTGTCAATCCGTCTTATCCGGAGTCTTCCCCTCCTGCTCTGTCCCTCTACCCTTCCAAGCATAATGTCCTTCTCTAAGGACTGGTCTCTCCTGCCACAAGCCCAAAGTATGTGAGAAGGAGCTTCAAAATCCTTGCCTCACCGTCTCTAGGACAGACGTGTTTGTTCTTTTGGCAGTCCGTGGTATGTTCAATACTCTTGTCCTGCACCACAATTCAAAGTGTCATTGATTCTTCTTCTGTCATCCTTAGTCATAGTCCAGCTTTCAGATGTGTAGCAAGTAATTGCAAAGGCCATGGCCTGGATCAGACACACCTTAGTCTCTAGACTAACATTGTTGCTGCCGAGTGAACGTCTCTCTCTCCACTGTCTATTCAGAAAGAATGTGTTCTACCAAGTAGTAGAATAATTCCTGAAAGGCTACAAAATCATTTCCAACACGTTGGCACTCTTGGCTTCCTTTTGACCGTGGAACATGTCCCTTGTAAATGAGCTTTCTCTAGGCTTAAAGCAGGCCCTGCTGCGATGTGTATTTAGCAAAACAATAACTGCCATTAGCTTGTGTAACTGTATTTTAAGAAATGTACTTGAGGGTAATAAAAGCATGATTAATACTAAAAATATATATCATTCCAGCTTCACACTAATTCTCCAGGATCAGTCTGAACTCCTTACATAATATAATTAGCTGACTGAACTAATCACCTTGTCAAAAATTTCATCCAGAAGTCTGCTGAAATACAAGGGGTAAAATGTCCCCATCACGCCTCTCAGGAGGTTGGAAGTGATGGCTACCTCGAGGGAGCACATGCTGTGGGATGAAACAGCCCTCCTCTGGGAGTCACAGAGACCTATGGAGCTAGCTTCCTTACCCTGTTTTTTCAAAAAAAGAAACTGAGACTCATGAAAGGCCATGTCCGAGGCCACTTACTTAGGATGCACCAGAACCTCCAGTCAAAGTGGTAGGTTTGGCCTATAAATTCTCTACTTAAATCCCCTTTCCAGTCCAGCTTGCAATCGCAGGCATAGAAGAAAGTGACTTACCAAAAAAATGGCTTGTCACAGAGGTGATTTCTCAAGTGCCTAGCACAGTGTCCCGTGGTTTCCTCTCACTCATCCCTTCTAGAATTCTACAGGATACCCCTGTCTGGACCTTTGCTGTCTTCGTGCCCATTCTGGGCATCCCCAAGTACAGGGGAAGAGCTGGTGAACCCAACCAAGACTGGCCAGAGAAAATGGCTGACCCTCGATGAGATGGATCGATTCTGTGAGTGGAGTGGTGGGAATGAATGTGTTTGAGAAGGCGAGGTTGGCACAGGAAAGAACGACATTTAGGACTCTTGTACATAGGGTCGCTATGAGTCGCAAACGACTCGATGGCACATAACAACAACAACAACAACAACTCATTCAGATGGCCACATCTCCGCCATCAGGACAGACTTGCTTCCATCAAGGACTACTTGTGCTATCCAGAGAGGTTTGAGATGCTTAAAGTCATTGGCAGGCTGGCAGGACAGACAAAACTATTTCATTCTGAAGCCTGGACCAGAAGGCATGTATCCGCAGCATGTGGTTACAGAAGGGACATTGTCCGCCGCCTGCACCATGCCTGCTCGGATGCAGGGATGAGCATCATTAGCCCAAGCATAATGGGGTGCGTGGCCCCCCCATGGTAGTCAAGGCAGTAGAGGAAGGGCTTTTAAAACAAGGGCTTGTCTTGGGAAGGAAGCCATTGAATCCTGAGGGAGTTTTCCACTTGAAATCTCCTTGGGACAAGGCGAGGAATAGAGGAGTAAAGGGAGGGAGAACGGAGTGTCATATTGCATAGTCTCCCACTCCAACACAAGAGCCACCCTGCAGGTACCTTCAGCTCGCGCTTTGCGTGCAGGGAACCCACTGCCACCATCACCCCCACCCCACCCAGGTGGGTATCATGCTGCCCCGCATGCCCTCCTGCACTCTGTTTAGCCCACCACAAGGTAAGTGTCTCAACTTTTAGAGATGAACTCATGGAAGCCTGAGGCTGAGGCGTGTTTGGGGAAGCAGGAGGATGAAAGAAATGCATCTGTTTCAGGCATTTCCTTTACAGAGTGTCAGAAACCCAGGGACACAGTACTCCATGCGCATGCGCATCCGGCCCAGCCTCGCTTCACCGGAGGGAATTCCTGTGAATCCCCATTGTAGAGATGAACAAGCTGAGATCCCAAGAATAAAAGCAAAGTGATTTCAGGTTAGGTGTACCTGTAATAGTGGGCAAAGCCAGGGGGTGAGTGTGACTGCAGGGCTGCTGCACTGATAACTGCCTTCTGGAATCTTCCTTGTGACAACAAGAGGAGGAGGAGGAAGAAGAGATTGACATCAGGGCTGACAGGACCTAACACAATCTGTTGCTCAGAGAGCGAGCTTTTTAAAGACTTTACATTGTTCACGAGCTTAATCCTTACCACAGGCCCATAGAGCGGGTTACTCCTGTTTTACAGAAGAGGAAACTGAGGCCCCGAACTATTAAGTGACTCGCCCAAGGGCACGTCCCTGTGAAGTGGGAGCAGTAGATTCGAACCTGGGAGTCTAGCCCCAGCAGCCTATTGGCAGAATAGTTTTGTTTATTACTCTTCGTTTGCAGCACCTGTGTTTGGAACTTTTATGCCCAAATTCTTAATTATTTTAACGAAAAGCAAAATATTTAAATAGCAGCTCGGGTATGAATGCTAATGTTTTGTGTGGCCCCCGTGTTTGTGCGTGCAATTAAATGCTGACTCGGTTCCAAGAAACCGAGTGGAAACATTGCTGTATTTAGCCTCCTTGCCTTTGAAAAGAAGGTGGGAAAGCTTGTCACCTGCTCCTCGGCGGCAGCGCGGCGCCAGCCCATTTTTTAACTCGCTCTGCCCTCTGCTGGTCTCTTTGCAGAGCTGCAACGATGTCGTCCAAGAGCGTTTCGGGCCGGAGCTGAAATACGACATCGCCCTGCGGCTGGCGGCGTTGCAGATGTACATTGCCACCGTTACCACCAAGCAGACCCAGAAAATCTCCCTCAAATACATCGAGTAGGTGTCGGCTTCCAGCGCCATTCGCTGGAGTTTCTTGCTGAGCTTGTTTTGTAGTAGGATATTTGTAAACAAGAAACCAAATTTTCTAAAAGCATGTTCATTTTAGATGGCTTCACGTTACTTTCATACCAAACTCTCTAAGAGTTGCAGTCGCAATGGGAGTCATATTGAAAACAATCCATGGGTTTTTTTTTTTCAAATCCCAGAGGGACTTGGTTCTAAGACAAATATTAATATCGGTGTTTTTCAGCCACTGGCCTCTAGTCGTCTAAGATAAATAGCACTGCAGCTCCATTTAAGTAGCACTGTACCTCCATTTTGTCCATGAGTAAACTAAGGCACTGAACGCTTCCATAAACTGAGCCCCACAGCTATTAACTAGAGGGGTCAAGATTCCAACAGGTGACTCCCCGTTGTGTAGGTGATCATTTGAAGCACTGATGTTTGGAAGGTGGTCTGTGTGGTTTGAGATCACTTTGAAATCATCAGAATGCAGTAGAAAAGGTCGACGAGTGCTCAGTCTTCATCAGAAAAGGGAGAGATTTGTAATTAAGAACCCTGCAGCAGCAGAGAAGGCTGCCACACAGTTGAACTTGGCTTTAGGGAGAGTATCACATTTGAAAGATGCAGATGGCTTGTTTTGCTGGGCACCCCATTTAATAGCATCAGCACCTCTCTGTGGCCAAAGAGGATCCCTTCTGCTTAGCAGAAGCAGTTTGTGTGGCCTTCACTCCATCACTGCCTCTTCCCCTCCAATAACCTAAACTCCTCACCCATAAATCCTGGCATTTTAGAAAGCGGTCAGGGTAACCCAAACCAACTTTCTAACAGTTTAAAATGCCTATCCCTTCCTGCTACCTGTGTCCACATTTTACTAGGTATAATATTGGAATATGAGAGACTCAAAAAGTCCTATAAGAGGAATATTATGAGTAGATACTAATATCACTGCACTGTGCTTAAGAAAAGTGTTGAAACAACAAATGTTTTATTGCAGAAATATTTCTCTGTCTCTCTGTCTCTCTCTCTCTCTCTCTCTCTCACACACACACACACACACACACACACACACACACATCAGAGATAACTAATTACTAAGAATCTTGCAGGGTCTATGAAACTCTTCTCCTGACGACATGTATTTAGCCAACAAATGGTAACTGACTATTCTATATGTAATGATGCCAGGACAGTAGAAAGTGTTAGTATTGTAAATTATCACCCTGAGCATTGAGGAAACTTGGAAAGACAACCTATGGAGCTAAGAGAAATCATGAGTTAAGATAATGATACAAGTAGAATTATAAGGAGGGCCAAATAAAGGGCAGAGACCTTAAGAATGAGTGACAAGAAAACCTGAATGAGCAAGTGGAGGACAATGTCTGACTCCCCTGCTTTGGAGAAGACCTGGGAAAAAGAGAACTAACCAGAATCTTCTGGAAGGTCTTCAGATAATTTGAAGGACCCTGGTTGGGTACATGCCAAACAAACATAGAATTTTCTAGACTTCAAATGATTTGATCTTAGCACAGTAGCCATTGCTTGGGGAAGGTTCTGCTAGGAAAATATATCCAGCCCAGTCCCATATGTCGGTTTCTTTCTTTTACGGTCACACCTGTGAGGGATTTTTGCCTCTTCTGTCAGTATCAGCTACATTACAGAGTCATCAACCGCATTCTTGGCTCCACACCGGAAGCACCAAACCCAAGAAATAATGATAGGAGGGGTCCAAGAAATATTGATGGAAACAGTTGGGCAAAGATGAACTGACAGGGAAGACTCACTGCTGAGTGAGAAGCTGGAGGGTGGCTTGGTGGCCTAACGGAGCTGGAGCTGGTCTTCTAGAGAACGGAGAGGGTGTAGGGCAGGTGTGCGGGGACGGGAAGAGATAAAAATGGGCATAGACAAGGGGAGAGAAGTTGATGTCAGAGTTGCAAACCCAGATGGTTGCATAAATGATAAGAGATGTAGAGATGGGTTTGACAAAGTATCGCCTCTCTAATTTCCACTGGTCCCCAATGCCTTGTTAGCCTTCTCTCGAGAGAGTGAGGAATAGATTTCTTTTTATGTGCAAGCATATGTATTAATGATCAAATGGTATGTTTTCTGAGTGTAAATTAAAAATTATTTCCCTAATTGGGGACTTGTCTGCATTCCCTGCCTTACCAAGGGTTCATTTGTTACCACAAACATCAGAGCGCCATTTTGCCTTAGATAACTAATCATCACAAGAATGTGAAATTAAAGATGCGCTCTTTATTGCAGGAAAGAATGGGGATTAGAGACTTTTCTTCCTTCTGCTGTGCTGCAGAGCATGAAAGAGAAGAACATAAAGAAAGCACTTTCACACCTTGTCAAAGCAAATCAAAACTTGGTACCACCGGGTAAAAAGGTATTGCATTTGCATCTTAATAGAAAATAGATGTTAAAGAGAGAGACTTGCATGCATTTTTGAAAATGTTTAAAATTAGCCTGTGGGTAAAAGACTTAGCACCATATTTCCAGAAGCAGTAGCGCTGTGTAACTTTTTTTAAAGTATGAATGCGTTTCTAAGACGAATGAAAATAAGTACCCTTGTGGAAACATATTTCTTTCTTGCAAGCTATTGACTCCTACCTGTGTTGGGCTTGTGTTGTCAGGAGATGCTGGTGTAGCCTGGTAGTTAGAGGAGAGAAGTACAAGCTATTTTTTTTTCTTTTATATTGCTTTGCTTACAAAGTTTGTATACATTGTGCTTCACACTATTCTTCAGTCATATTGTGTTTCATACAATCATTCCCCTGCATTATGTTTTCCAAAATTCATCACCATTGGACCTTGCCCATCATTACCCAATCTTTTCAGGTCCCTGTGGGATCCATCCCATTTCCTTCACCCCCTCCCTTCATCCACCAGAGTGTGCAACCTATGGTTTTGCTCCAACCCATCCTCACTCCTCTCCTCCCCTTTCCCCCCTTGGGGCCCCACACGTGCTTTACTAGTTATCCTTTCTTTTCTTTTGCTTTTTTTTTTTACAGTAGTGGTCTTGTGCAGTATTTGTCCTCATGAGACAAATTAGTTCACTCAGAATAATGCTCTGCAGCCTTTCCCCAAGTTACATAATATTTTTCAAAATCATTATTCCTGAGTGCTGCATGGTATTCCATTGTGTAAATAAATGGACCACAATTTTTCAGTCCATTTGGTTGTAGTTGGACATTTGAGCTGTTTCCATGATTTGGTGATGATTAATAACACTGCTATGAACATTGGTGTACAAATCTCCATTTGTGTCTCAATTCTAATTTCCTTGGGGTGTATTCCTACTAGTGGAATAGCTGAGTCATACAGAGTTTCTATGTTCAGCTTTTCGAGGAAATGCCAAACTGCCTTCCAGAGTGGTTGTACCATTTTACACTCTCACCAACAGCATATGTGTGAGTTCCCACCTTTCCACATCCTCTCCAACATTTATTTCTTGCTGCCCTGTTAAACTTGGCCACTGCTAATGGAGAGAGATGGTTTCTCATTGTGGTTTTGATTTGCATCTCTCTCATTGCCAGTGACTTGGAGCATTTCTTCATATGTCTGTTGGGCATCCAAATGTCTTCCTCTGTGTAAAAGTCTTTCCATCTCTTTTGTCCATTTTGTAATTGTGCCATCAGCCTTTTTCTCATGGAGACCCAGGAGTATACTGTAAACTTTTGTTATGAGACCCTTGTCTGAGATGGTATTGCTAAATGTTTTCTCCCAGCCAGTAGGGTTTGTTTTATTTTTTACCCTGTTGGGAAAAAAAAAGGTTTTTCTGAGAACAGAGATCTTTATCTTTAGAAGGTCCTATTCATCAATTTTATCCTTTTCAGATTGTGCCTTTCTGGCTGTATTTGGCAGTCTCTTTATACCGTAGACTAGGCCTTTTAAGGAGAATTGCATGCTATTTTTATATCTCCATCATGCTCTCGCTTGCCACCCAGGCCCCTGCAAGGTACTAAAGAGTCCATGCAGACAGGATGGCACCTTCACTGAAGCTTTTAGTTTTGGGAAGCAGATCTTTCTTCTCTGTGTGGACAATCTCTTCCCATGCGTTGCAAACCTAATGGAGGGTTAGCTATGAGTCAGTTCTGACTTGACAACAAGGACTTTGAGTTTGGGGTCCCCCCCGCCACCCTGTCTGTTGTAGGATGGTTAGCAGCATCCCTGGTCTCTACTGTCTCCTGGGTGTGACCACCAGCTATATCTCCAGACCCTACCAGATGCTCTTTGGGGGAAGGGGGACAACATCCCTGCTGGTTGAGAACCATTGAATACATCATACTCTTTGGAGGAGTGAGTTTAAATTATTTCCTTCATTCACCATAAGTGCTAAAATCTCCTTTCTTTAGTAAGTATAAGAAGCATACAGAGAACATGTTAAAAGAAGCTGTTGGTCAGAGGAAAGAGGTATGTTGGTTTATAGGTAATGAAAAGCAAAGCATTTTGCGAAGCAGAAAGAAAAGCAGTATTAAAATACTGGGCCTGTCACAACCCAATAACACTTCGCAGTTGCCTCTGACCTTGGAGGCTTTGGAGACTGTAATAGAAGTCACTGTTTGTTTTGGTGTTGGTGTCAGATGTTAGGTCCTTGTCACCGGCTTATTTGCCTCTCCCTCCCCCTTGCCTTGGTCTTTCTCTGGCAAACTTACCAGGTTCTACCCACTGCCAACCACCTGTGACTTCCCGATTTCACGGGGATGGTGCCCCAGATCACAGTGAGCAGTCCAGCATCAACGTTTTCTAAGTGTCATTTCTTGTTTCCCCCTTGGCTAATTCCTGGTAAATGAGGTGATTTCCACCCCCTTCCCCCAAGCCTGGACTGCTGGATCTTATCATAATTTGGATAAGTGCTGTCAAATCTACCTACCTATCTATCTATCTATCTATCTATCTATCTATCTATCTATCTATCTATCTATCATCTATCTATCACCTATCTATCATATTCACATCTTCTAACCAAAAGTGAGTGAGTGGTTTGCTTTGAAATCAGTCTGGACTGATCAGAGAGCTCACCTCCTTGAAAAATTCTAAAGACTTGACAGAACCTGAGAAGGGAGGTACAAGAGCCTGTGTGAAGGCCTTCTGTAGGCTGCGGGTGTAATACAGGCAGTCCCCGGCTTACGAAAGAAATCAGTTCCTAAATGTTTCTTCAAAGCGAATGTGTAGGTAAGTCCAAAAAGGTGCATATAGTTCTTGTTTAGTTGTTACTTTAGGGCAGGAGAAGAATAGTCCTGCTTTAGGACAGTCCTGGTGGTGCATATTCAGCTACTAACCACATGGTTGGTGGTTCAAATCCATCAGCTATTCCATGTGAGAACCATGAGGTGAATGGCTTCTGTGAAGTTCTATAGCCTCGAAAACCCTATGGGCAGTTCTCCTCTGTCCTCTACGGAGTTCTAGCGGCTGATTAGACAACTGCAATCCCAAAGGCACATGGTTCAAATTCACCAGTTGCTCTGTGGGAGGACGGGAAATGCCCTCCCGTGTGATTTACTGCCTCTGAAAACCCACTGGAGGCTCAGCTCTAGGTTGGTTCTGATTTGATGGTACACAACTAACAACGATGGCTCAGTGTTCAGGAGTTGTGCTACCAGCCAAAAGGCATGCAGATCTAATCTACTAGCTGTTTCGTGTGAGACAAGGTCGCCAGTCTCTTTCTCCTGCAATTGACTGCCTCAGAAAAGCCACTGGAGGCTCAGCGTTGAGTCTTTTCTCATTTGAAGGTACATAACAACCACAGACCTGTCTTCACAGGGTCACTGTGAGTTGAAATCAAGTCAGTGGTAGTGGGCTTAGGGTTTTGTTTGTGTTGATTCATGAAAGAAAAGACTCAAAACCCTTTCCCATTAATTGAAAGCTGTGAAGGTGATTATGAGGAAGAATTTGTTGCAAGAAGGGGTGGGTTCTATCAAGTGTTTCAGAGTAAGGACCCGTTTTGGTAACATCAAGGGAAAGTATGAGTTGTCCACAAAGGTGATGTTCGTAACCCAGGGACTTACCGCGTTTAAAGCAGCTCCCACAATCTGTGCATACTGGTAGGTCCTCCTCCATCACCTATGGGAGTTGTGGCAAAGCCTCATTTTGTCCCTAACTGCAATGGAAAAGCACCAGTTGCCTCTTGAAGTTTTCCTTTGAATGTTTTTTGTAATTATCTGTTGTTGAGTGTTCTGATCGAACATCCATACATAGGAGTCCTCTCTAAAGGTTCCCCTGAATAAATAGAATTTTAACCTTATTTTCACATTGTAGTCCTTCATCAGGAAACCAGTTAAATACCTAGCAATTTCCTTCCCTTCCTGGTGCAGGGCCCATCTCGTCCACAGCAGAATGATCCTTCTTTTTGCCCTGGTTTTTAGCTTGTCTCCAGCTCAGTGGTACCCAATGGGTTTCTTTTCTCTCCTCAGCTCTCTGCGCTGCAAGCCAAGGTCCATTACCTCAAGTTCCTCAGTGACCTTCGATTGTACGGGGGCCGCGTGTTCAAGGCAACGTTAGTGGTAATTTCACTGTCTTGCTTTTTTTCCCCCCCCAAAGGCCACAGAGGCCTGCAAAATGTCACTGCCTGGGTGGTTTCCAGTGCGCTGCCTCTGATGGCAAAGACAAATCAGCTGTGACGTTGTTCCAGCCTTTGTTTCTAATTGGCTTCACCAGGCTCAAAATATCAGTAGGAATGCTGGGCTCTTAGCTAGTGGCCTGCTGAACACCCCAGACAAAGAAATCTGAAGAACCAGGAGACTGACAGCGCTGGCTGCACAAGTGGCCTCCTTGTAAACCGTCGAGTCAAAAGTTGCTCTCACATTTAAAAAGTAGTCACACTCACTTCCAAGAGTCTCCTGTGATTAGAGATAGACTATGTACAGTGACAATATCTTTCGACTTCATTCAGGGCGCTCACATACCTGGTCATTTGGGACATTCAAAGCTGTTGCCCACCCCCGCCTCCAGATCCTATGGTCTGTTTTCCAGTTATTGGGTTTCAACAAACTTAATCCATGATTTCTTGACCATGGCTTATAGTTTTATTATGTAAATATACTCAAAAGTCATATTTTCAAACTATTAAGGTAAATGAGGCTGAAAATCACCTCTTGACATATTAGGTGATATGCATAGTGTACACATGGGTGCACTATGGAACTTTTTACATAATTTTGCCATTTTTCCTACTATATGTGTGTGGGTATTATTTTTGTGAGCATGCTATTTGCAGAAAAATACAGTGAATAAGATGACATATACTCATAAAAAAACTTTGAAGATCTCTAAAAGCATAATAAAATATAAGGTATATTAAGCCTTCTGCAGAATCATTAGCCCAAGATTTCTAGAATGCATAGCCTTGAATCCATAAATTCGTAAGAAGGAAAGAAATTAAAGGCTAGAGGCTGGTATAACAAAGCCTACACATAAAGGCCACACACTCGCAGCATTAGAGGCTGGAGGACAGTCAGACCTTAAGCGTTAGCTGAAAAATCTTGTTAAAACCCAGTAGATGTGGGGTGGGGATGCAAATACTCCATGCGTAGGTCAAACCAGAATGAGCTGGTTCCAAGCCCTTAGCACCGTATAATAGGCCCCCTAGTAACACAGCAATCAGCTGCTAACCCAAAGGGCACTCATTCCAAGTCACCCCAGTGCCTCTGCCAGAGAAATGTCCTGACAAGCTACTCCAAGAAAAAGTTGCTGTTGTTGTTGTTGGCTGACACTGATTCAACTGCAACTCATGACGACCCTGTGAACAACAGGGATCTGAATCTTGCCCTGTCCTCACAATCTCGCTCATCCTCGAGCCCACTCTATTACTGTCACTCCTTCAGTCTCTCTTGTTGACAGTCTTCTCCTCTGTCTGTGACCCTCCACCTTTCCTTCCTGACAACACGACTCTCAGGCTAGGGAGTCACAGGGGTCAGCGCTCCTCTGTCCTATAGAGTCCCTGTGAGTGAGTGGGAATCGACTCGTCAGCTCTCAACAACAGCAAACTAAACCCACAGAGACGTGATCACGAAAGTGCAGATCTTAAGAGAACAGGCTCTCTGGGCCAAGTTTGCATGGGTCTAAGGTCAGAGGTCCAGTCTGCTCATCTTTTGCCCATGGCCCTTTCCCAGCAGGCAGAAAAGCGCTCAGAAGTGACTCTCCTGGTTGGGCCCCGGTACGGCATCAGCCACGTCATCAACACTAAAACCAATCTGGTGGCTCTTCTGGCTGACTTCAGCCACGTCAACAGAATCGAAATGTTTACGGAAGAGGAGAACTTGGTGAGGGTGGAGCTCCATGTGCTAGATGTAAAGGTAAGATTTTGGGGCCGTGACACATGACAAGCCTATTTCTGATAATATTGCTGATGTCCATAAAGCAGGTGAAATTGCAAGATGGATCCAAGTCTGGTCCGAGGGCCCTAGTCCTCACGAAGTAGCTGTGTGGTTTGCAGTTTACTACACTTCTCTGGGTGCAGTATCTGCATTTACACAATAAAAGCTAATTTTGGACATTTCTAAGGTCCCTATGGCTCTAGGATGCTTGTATATGTATAGATGTGCTGTGGTTATGTACTGGTAAATCAGAACCGACTCACAGCTGACCCTCCAGCAGGTTTTCAGAGGCTGTAAATTGCACAGGAGGAGATTGCCCAGCTTTCTCCCATGGAGCAGCTGGTGGAGTTGAACCGTGCGCCTTTGGGTTATTGGCCCAACTCCTTACAGAGTGAGAGGAGGGGAGATTTTCCCTAACTAACTTTCTACGATATGAGAGTCTCATCCAGAGAGTTCTTGCAGAGAGTTGAGCAGCTAACTCAAAGGCTCCGTGTGTCCGACAGTTCAAATCCACCAGCAGCACTGGAGGAGGAAGGTTGGCGAGGCTCTTCCCATTTCAGTTTCCAGCTTCTGAAACTGATGGAGGTTTACTGTGAATCGGACCCAGGATTGAGTTGGTGGGTGAACTCTCTTTAGAATTCCCATTTCCTTCTGTTTGATTTGGTCCATACAGATTTATCCTCGAGCAAACACTGATTATTTTAGGCTTGTTTTCTCAGCTCCGAGGGAGAAGGATCTCCTTCCGTGCCATTTACTGCCTCTGAAAACCTGCTGGAGGGTCAGCTATGAGTCGGTTCTGACTCAGTGGTACATACAACAGTCTTGTCACTAGAGTTCCCAGATGATGTAAACAAGTGTTCTCAGCTGCTCACTGAGAAGGTGGTTCAAGTCCATCCAGAGGTTTGGGATAGGTAGTTAGAGTCTACCAGGTTTGATGTTAAACTTGGCCAGTGCCCTGCACCTGGGAGTGAAAACAAGAGACCTGTTGTCTCGTGGTTTCTCTTGCTTGAGAGACTTCCATGTCTCTCCCTCACTGTCTTGCTTTTTAAAGAAGAGCACATCAACAAAAGCATCCCTAACTGAATGGAAATAATTGCTTCAATCAAACACCTCCATCGCCACATTCCCAAGATCATGTTCAATTACATGATGACCGCATTACCTACAGAACGTTTAACAGGCTTCTCTTCTTCCATCTCTGTTTTACCTTCCTGTAAATTGACAGCTTTAAAACATCTTTCTGAACCGTTTTGACCCTGTTAGTTTAGTCATAGCAGCAATTTCCACTTGATTTTTACTTCTCTTCAACACTAATTTTCACTGTGAGCTCCAAACTTAATCTTCCTGCCTTCTTCAGATTATAAGTTCATATCCAACAATGAATTTTTTTAAATTTTTTTACAATGAATTTTTTTAACTACCATTCTTTAAAATGATAACTATTTGAGAGTTAGCCAAACTTTTTTCAATTTATATTTGGGTTGTGGGTTTTTTTGGGGGTTGCCCCCCCCTTATTCTAATATGACTTGAAAGAGATTTAAAATGTCAGGCTTTCAAAATGGTGTCTCCTTAATGTCTTTCTAGTAAAGTGTTCTGAGTCATGTCTGGCTTTTAGCCCTCACATATAGTTCTCCAGTGAGGTATTTGCCCAATAGCTTCCTTTGTTTGGATTTCATAAGCATAAATGCAGCTGTTGACATTTGAGGGAGGTTGATAAGGATGGGTGGATGCTTTTAACCAAAACATTCTTTTTTGTGTGTAGCCCATCACCCTCCTGATGGAACCATCAGATGCCATGAACTTGGCCTGCCTGACAGCAGGATATTACCGACTCCTTGTGGATTCCAGAAGATCGATATTTAACATGGCTAACAAGAAGAACAATACAGGGACCCAGGAAACAGGTATCTTCCCCTGAGCCAGTAAAGCAATCACCCCTCTCTCACACCCCAGTGGAAAGCAATAAATAGGAAAGAGTAGAAATAACTTGGAAATGGAAAGAATAGGAAATAATTTTTCTTCAAGTTTCAGACTGCATCCCCAAAAGATCTAGGGTCCAAAATGTAACACAGAAGCCATCAAATATTTGTTGTAATGGAACATAATTTTTAAAAGGGAAATTGCTGACTTCCCACAGGGAAGTCACGAGGAGATGACCGGGAGTGTACTGACTCCAAAAGCTTGTGCCTTTGTACCCGAAGCTAGGCCACCTGAGCACCTACCCCTGCGGCCAGAACTTCTTTCCAGATCCTTCCAATAGGAGAAAGGAGATATTGCTCGTGCTTGGACTTGGATGTTTTAGCGGAGAAGTCCTCCACCCCGCAGCCATCTTGCTTTGGCAGGAGCAATGTCACAATGGCCAAGGCATCAGATGATTCCCTTCAGTCACTTGACAGAACAAACAGCCGCACAGTAATGGGGAGGAGCACATGACTGATTAAATTGGTCATTTCTTCCAGGGAAGCTAGTTTTCATTTGTTCTAAGGTTGTTACTTTTTGTTCAGTGTTGGAACATCTTGTTCTGTCTACAGGGGACAGGTCAGGAATATGATGGGAAGCAAAGAGGGAGGAGCCGTATTCAAGGCAGACCAGTGACTCCTTAAGATATGACAATCTTGCTCCCACCGATAATTTTAAAGAAAACGAATCAGAATCGTAACAAATGTTAATCATCTTTGTTTCTAAAGAGAGGACAAAAGGAGAAGGAAAAAGAAGGGAAGGAGAATTCTTTCTCTTAAACTTAATACAAAACAAAAATGTATGTAGGTACACATAAGAAGCTCCGGTGGTACAGTGATTGAATCACTTGGTGGCTAGTCAAAACATTCAGCCAGTAAAACCCACCCACCAGGAAAAAGATGTGGCCGTCTGCTTCTTGGGAAGTCCTATGGGCAATTTTACTCTGTCCTCCAGGTCAGATGAGTCAGAATCAACTCAATGGCAATGGTTTTCTTATAAGGTAGGAACACATACATACTGTAGAATTATGGCTAGTTAAGTTAAAGCCATTACAGTCATCAGAAAATGGAACTGAGAGAGTAAGAAGGAAATGGAAGAAGTGAAGTAGAAGTCAGCTCTGACTTTTGAGTTAGATAAATCTAAGATTCAGTCTAGCCTCTGGCAATTAGTATCACTGGACCTTAAACTACTTCCCCCCCACACACACACCCCGAGGTCCCTAAGGTTAAGTTTTCTTATCTGTAAAATGGAGATTAACAACCTTGCTTGCAAGGTACAAGTTAGAAAATTTCCATGCACAGCACCTAAAACAATTCCCAGCACTTCAGTAATTGGCAATTATCAAATAATCTGCAATAAAAATGTATTCATAGTTGTTAATTAAGAATGGTGGTGGGAAAAAATCAAGAATGAAGGTACCAGAAACAAAGTAAAGAAAACTAGAACATGCGGGGGGGGGGGGGGAAGACCCTGGGAGAGAAAAGACAAGGCAAGGAGCGTGGGCTGGGCTTAGGAATGTCCGTGATCTCATGTTCTGTTTGAACTGGGAGATACAGAGTGATGTAGCACTGGCCTTTGAAATCTCAAAGGACAGTTTAGCAATTTGACACATTCTTTTTCCACAGGAAAATCCAGTTTTTACTTCCTATTTCTAAATATTAGCCTAGATCTTGAAAACAAGAACTTTTCCCTGTGAATTGTTAGCATTCATGGGGATAGGTGAGTAAAGAAAGCCAAACTTACATTCTAAAACTGGTTACAGAAATAGGGCCTCAGTTATGTCCAATTTATAAGGACTCAAAATGTAATAGTTAATAAAACAATTTAATAAAAAGTAATAAACAGCTAAGTTGCATGAATGAAAAGGTAGTATACAATAAGGGTTTGACATTGCAACCTATTAATTTTGTTAATCAATTATAATTTTGTTAATCAATTACAATTAATGCTTTAAAACAAAATGTCTGTAAATGATTGAATGAATATAAAATACTGTTTATCTTAAAACCAAAACAAAATAACCGGTAAAAGACCAAACTTAGTTTAACTCACTGCTGTGGAGTAGAACCCTGCAGCGAGTTTTCAGAAGCTATAAACTGCACAGGAGGAGATTGCCCGTCATTCTTCCATGAAAACTTACTGAGGGAAATCTAATTGCCATGAGGAAAGACTAAACCTTCCGAGTCTCAAGAATTCCTCCAAGCTTTAAGCAAGGATGAAGAATGTTCCAAATACTTCTTCCACCTCCGAGAGAAAGGGAGAGCAAGAAGGAGCACAGAGTGGAGATGAAAGAAGCCTATAGAGGCGAGCTCTGGTGGCCTAGTGGCAGGAAACTGCACTGCAATCCCAGAGGTGCGCGGTTCAAATCCACCAGATGCTCTGCTGAAGACGGTGGAACAAGCGCCTCCTGTACCAGTCAGATCCAATTTGACGGTACACACATTTTAAAAAAAATGACAACAATAAGAAGCCTATAGAATGAAAGCAGCCCAGATGAAAGCAGGATGCTGTAGCATCCTGTAATGGCTGAAAATCCTGTCATCTTTACAAGAGCTCCCAAAGGATCTCCTGAGACCCAAGAAATGGAGAAACTAGTGCAGCCAGTCCATTCTCTCCTCCAACACTGTTCTAGAGGGAGATTGGATCACAGTCTAGATAGAACCCAGTATCTAACCCACATCCTTCAGTGGCCCCAAAATCATTCCAAAAAAGTCAAATTACTACATTTTCTGCAGATAATTGATGCTTTTTCTATTTTGGTCAGAGCACAACTTCTCACAAGCTAGTTTACTGTGTGTTTTATTCACATCGTATGTGTTGATGCTCTGTACATAAAAAAAATTCTTATATGTGAAAAACACAGGAGCATACTCTTCTGGTTGGTTCCCAAGATTGAGAGTGTATGATCTTCTTGTCTCAAATTAATCATAAACCTTAGTCGTAGATCCTATTTCTTCATTTCTTTCTTGAAAATTGCCTTTCTGGCCCTTTCCAGCACTTTGAATACTCAGTTCTACATGTATATGCAACTTTTAGCCAGCTGGTCTGTTTCATATTCCTGTTGGTCTGACCAAGAGTTACCAAACTTGACCAGATTCTGGTTTTGGAAATAGAGTTTTATTGGAACTTAGCCACTTCCATTGTAGTAGTGTCTCCTGTGGCTACCCTAACAAATTGTAACAAATTGGTGGCTAAAGAGAACAGAAATTTATTCTCACCCCCTGCGACCCCAGCATGGCCAGGAGCAACAGTGCAACACGCCATGAGCCACCTTCCCGCAGATGACCTTCATAGGCCCTGCCCAAGCAAATAAGCTGAGAAAATTGCAGTCAGGAAACAGGTTTCTAAGCTGTTTCCTTCGACGATTGGATCTTCCTTCCTCTATAAAAGAAGCCTCTCCTTTGTCCTTGAAAGTGGACTCCAACATTGGAGAGCCAGCTTGGTATGTCAGCTACTTCTTACATTATAAATCATACCCACAGGCATGCCATGAGGCATCAAAAAGATGCCAAAAGAAAAGAGATTTTTTTGAAAACTGTAAAATTTGTAATAACAATACCACCATAATGTTCCAGAAGCAGCAGAACACCACGTCAGTCTCCACCAAAAAATAAGATATCACCTAAAAAAAAATCATCAAAAAGCAGAGTCAGCATATCTTCCAGAAGATGAAAAGCTGATGGAAGTCTCTGACAATGAGTTCAGAAAAATAATGATTATGTATTATCCCAAAATAGGATAAAAAACCAAAATGAACTGAAGGAGTGCACAAGCAAACCTCTAGAAGAACTTAAAAAAAAATATGTATATAAGACAAACCGGACAGAACCAGCAAAGTATTAGAAATCATAGAAAAGCAAGGGACTGTGATCCAGAATAACTAGACCAAGATCTCAGATGCTGCCAGCAGGTTGGGGGGGGGGGCAGAAGAGCAGAATTTAAGAGATGGAACATAGAATTAGTGAGGCAGAAGATAGATCCCTTGTATCATCCAGCTGGAGGAAAAGATAGAAACCAAGAAGGGAGGAAAATGAAGAAAATACAAGAATCATTTGGGATACCATTAAAAGAAAACATCCAAGTAATTGGAAACCCAGAACAAGAAGAAGAGGAGGAGGAGGAAGAAGAAGAAGAAGAACCAAGAAAATGGTGAAAGATGTATAATGAAAAATGAGAAAATATACATCCAAAGAAGCTGAGAAAACCCCTAAGAGGAAAACATCAAGATAGCAAAGTCCAATTCTACAAAATAAAAGACTAGGAAAGTATTCTAAAAGCTACTCCAGAGAAATGAAGAATTGCCTACAAAGGAAAGCCACTAAGATTAATTAGCAATTTCTCAGCAGAAACCATCCAAGCAAGAAGACAATGGGATGACATATTAACGATTTTGAAAGAAAACAACTACCTCCTGAGAATCCTGTATCCTGAAAAACTGTGCATCAAATATGATGGAGAAATTAGGACAGTCTAAGAAAAGCATGAACTAAAGGAACTTGTGAAAATAAGACCAATCAACTTTGAAGTAATTATTGAAAGAAATCTTCCACACAGATAGGACACAAAAGTAGATAAGTAAAAGTAACTAACAACACAAAAAAAGAGCTCAGCAAAATGACAGTAATAAAACCTAGCCTGTCAATAATCACACTGAATGTGAATGACTTAAATGCACCAACCAGTTAAGAGAAAAAGAGTAGCAGGCTGCTTAAAAATGTGAAACCCATCAATATGCTGCCTGCAAGAGATATATTTAAGAAGTGAAGATAAGGATTAACTAAAAATCAAAGGATGGAAAAAAGAATACCCAGGAAATGGCAACAACAACAACAACAAAAAGGCAGGAGTAGCAACTCTAAGCTCAGATTAAATAGACTTTAGGGTAAAAACCAGTACAAGAAACAAGATGGAACACTATATAATGCTTACAGGGTCAATAGAGCAAGAGGCTATAACCTTTCTATCTGTGCACCACATGAAAGCAGCAAAATCCACAAAACAAACTTTAATAGACTTGAAGACAGAAATAGCATCACAAGAGCAGTAGGAGACTTCAACACACCACTTTTAATGAAAGACCGGAAGACTAAAAAGTTACTCATCAAAGAGCCAAAAGTAAACTACACAATTAACCAACTTTATAGACCTAAAGAGAGCACCAAACAAAAGCTCAATAAACGTTTATCTTCTATGTGTATGCAACATACTCCAAAATAGACCATATGTTAGGACATAGAGCAAGCCTCAATAAATACAAAAACATTGAAATACTACAAAACATCTTCTCAGATGACAATGCTATCAAGTTAGAAACAGCAAGAGGAAAAAGGAGATAAAACCATGCACTTGGAAGCTAAATAACAACCTCATCAATCACTGTTGGGTGATAGAAGAAATAAAAACTGAAATTGAAACATTTCTAGACATAAATGAGAATGAAAATACAACATACCAAAACTTCTGGAATCCAGCAAAAGTAGTTCTCAGAGCAACAAGCAAACACATCAAAAGGGATAAAAGAATGAAAATCAACATTTCCAGCAAATAAAAAAAGAACAGCAAGCAAACCCCACAACCTCTACAAAAAAGTAAATTATAAAAAGATGGGCATAAATAAATGAAATAGAAAATAGAAGAACAATTGAAACTGTCCACAAAACCAGAAGTTGGTTCTTCAAAAAGGTCAACAAAGTTGACAAGCCACTGGCAAACTTAACAAAGGAAAAGAAAGCTATAATACAAATAAATAAGAAGTGATAGGGGGGGAGCTCTGCCATCCCAGAGGTACACGGTTCTAATCCACCAGATGCTCTGCTGGAGAAGGAGGGGCAATCTCCTCCTGTACCAGTCAGATCTGTTTTGATGGTACACACACAAAAAATAATAAAATTTAAAATAAAAGGAAGATGTCACAACAGAACCAACCCAAATAAGAAGGGTGATATTGGAATGGTATAAAAGATACACTCCAACAAATTTGAAAATCTAGAAGAAATTGTCAAATTCTCAGACATTCATATGTTACCCAAACTAACACAGACTGAAATGGAATATTTGAGCAGACCTATCACAAAAGAACTCTAGCAAGTCTTAAGAAAACTCACAAACAAACAACAAAAACCCCAAACCCTAGGTCAGATGGTTTTACAGATGAGTTCTACCAAACATTCACCAAGAACTATCACCAGACCTACTTAAATTATTGAAGAAAATGGAAAAGAAGGAACACTCCTAAATTTATTCTATGTACCAAACGTAATCCTGATACCAAAGCCAGGTAAAGAGACCACCAAAACCAGAACTATAGGTCAGTATCCCTATATAATGAACATAGATGCAAAAACCCTTATCAAAATCCTAACCAGTAGAATCCAACAGTTTATCGAAAGAATTATTCACCATGATCAAGTGGGATTCATAACCGGTATGTAAGGATGGCTCAACCTAAGAAAAATAATCAGTGTAATCCACCACATCACTAAAAGAAAGGACAAAACCACATGATCATCCCAATTGATTCAGAAAAGGCTTTGACAAAATCCAACACCCTTTTCTGATTAGAAAGCTCAAAAAAAACAGGAATAGAGGGTCATTTCCTCCACATAGTTAAGAGCATATACTTTAAGCCAATAGCTAACCTCATCTGTAATGGAGACAGTTTAAAGGCATTCTCATTTGCAAATAGGGACCAAATTAGGATGCCCACTGTCACCACTTCTATTCAGTATTATATTGGCAATCCAGTAAGACAAGACTAATAAGATCAAGAAATGAGGTCTCCAAATCAGCAAAGAGTAGGTAAAACTATACATATGTAGCTCACATGATACAATGTGTAGAAAACTCCAAAGATGGAGTCAGAAAGCTGCTGGACAGAGTAGAACAATTCAGCAAAGTGGCAGAATGCAAAATCAACATGTAAAAATCAAATTTCTTTAAAGCAGCAAAGAGAACGTAGAAAAAGAAGGGGAGAGAAATAGGCATAGTTTGCTGAAGCATGTTCCCTACCCACGACAACCACACTCCCAACAGACATGCATACACATGTGTGCACAGACAGAACCAGTCATGATCTGTGATCCAGATCATGGATTTACTACTACAGTTAGTAGTAAAACAGTGGAAGGCTCCCATAAGGCATAAGTATTACAAGATGCAAATATGGCTGATGTGTTTCTCAAGGTCTTTGAAATGAATGCATTTTCTGTTCTGCATATGAATATATAAATATATCGTTGTTGTTGTTGTTATGTGCCATCGAGTCGTTTGCGACTCATAGCGACCCTATGGACAACAGCCCTAAACCCTGCTCTATCCTGCGCCAATCGCATTGCCTCCGATACACCCATCCCGATTACCCCAGTCACTGAATCAATCCACCTCATAGAGGGTCTTCCCCTCCTGCGCTGTCCCTCCACTCTACCCAGCATGATGTCCCTCTCCAAATATAAATGTGACCAGGATTAACTGCTCAATATTATGTGCTATCTTATTTTCTTAGTGCAACTTTAACAAAAAATACCAAAAGTGGTGACTTTAATGAACAGAAATTTATTTTCTCATCCTTTAGTAGGTTGGAAGTCCAAATTTCAGCTCTAGGAAAAGGCTATGTCAGCTTTCTCTTTCTTCTTTGGTCCTTGATGATGTCTCCAAGGCATATGTTTTTCTCCTATTTCAGCTAGCTTCCCCCCATTTCTTCTTGCTTGCTTCTGTACCTAAATTACTCCTTTTATATCTCAAGAGTAATTGGTTTAAAACACACCCCATACAGATAGAGTCTTATACAAATAACAATGAAAACTCTTTTCTCAAAGGAGACTACATCCACAGGGATGGTGATTAGGGTTCACAACATGTATTGGGGTGGAGGGGTGCTGCCACAATTCAGTCCATGACACTGTATAATCTGGGAGCTCTAGGGCCAAATGGGTAAGGAGTTTGGCTACCACTCCCAAAGCAGGTGATTCAAATCCACTATTCCATGGAGGAAAGACGGGCAGTCTCCTCCCACGTGGTTTATAGCCTCTAAAGACCCACTGGAGAGTAAGCTATGAATCAGTTTTGAAAGCACACAACAGCAACAGTAACCTCTTTGGTAAAACTGATTTTTGTTGCACTTCTTCCATATGTCTTATGTGCATCTGATGTCAGTATCCTCTAAACCTGGGCCAGGGGCACTTTGAGGGAACAGATGGGAGAACAGATGATGTGACCTTAAAATTTGCTGCAATGACTAATTATCTTTTCCTCCAAAGTGTTGCCTCTGGAATCTACAAAATAATATTGGCAGAACAACCCAGTGCTCCATTTTGTTAAATATCAGGGCAAAATCTCAACATCAGAATTCCCTTTGGAAATCCCCTGAAAAGCAAACAAAGGACCAATATTGCAATCAGTGTTTTGCAATTCTAATTTCATGAGACCCATAAAAAAAATCTTTAGAAGTTCCTATGATACAAACAAAAATTAAAAATTGGACAAATGAATAGCTATGTTTACGTATGGAAACAATAATTATATCCCCTCTAAACTATCTACTTTTTGCATTTTATTTTTAAAGATATTTATGTGTGTTTATGAATGTATATCTATGCATGTAGACCCATATACCGACATTTACACATGGACATACTTATATCCACTGGAACATAAAAAGGCAGAACAGAGAGGTTATCGTTACAGCCTTATTTTCATTTCCTAAAAAAATGTGGGAATTATGAGGACCTTTGACCTCTTAACTCAAAGAGCAAAAAAAGTCCACCATCATCTTCCACAAAGTGGAGAATGTTAGCTCTTGTTTTACAAAGAAAAGGTCAATCTCTTTTTTTAATAATAGCTTATCGAAATCGTACTTTTAAAGATTTTTAAAAGGCATGTTGTAATTCACATCCACAGATATAAATGAAGTCTTATTTTAATAATAGAACCAAAAGTTGGGTAGGAGTAAGCGCTTTTTCCCTCCTCCCAGATGGTATTCTATTTTCTCAAATAACAATTATATTTTATGAAGTATCCATTTGGCTAAAGTCAAGAGGTTGCTGTGCCTGAAGTCCAAATCAGCTTGGTACCAAATTTGGAAAGCGGAATAACAATATTTATACAAGCGATATCACAAGACACTAAATTTAAAAAGAGAGCAAGAGAGAGAAGGTTATCTCAGAAAGCAGACAGCCTAGTAATGTGTTTGCATGATTCTTTCTCTTTAGGAGCTGAGAACAAAGGGAAGCATAACCTCCTTGGCCCAGACTGGAACTGTATACCCCAGATGACCACCTTCATCGGCGAAGGCGAACAGGAAGCCCAGATAACGTATATCGATGCAAAACAGAAGACAGTTGACATTGCAGATGGCACCTTGTGTCCCAAAGACCACCGGCCCTTGTACATAGACAGTGCCTACACCCCGGAGGAACTGACTGCACAGCTGGCCCAGCCGGGTGACGTCCCCTGCGAGGCCGACTACCGAGGGCTAGCTCAGCGGTCTCTGTTGACCCTCTCTGGGTCAGAAACTCTCAAGAAAGCACAGGAGTCTCCCAGAGGAGCTAAAGTGTCCTTTATCTTTGGAGACCTCACCTTGGATGATGGCCTGAGCCCCCCGCCTCTTGGCTATGAAAGACTGTTGCAGGAGAGTCCAGAGATGCTGGAGAAGCAGAGGAACCTCTACATCAGCAGTGCCAACGACATGAAGGGCCTGGACCTCGCTCCGGATGCAGAGAGCATCCAGTTGGTGGCAAACTCTGTCTACGCCAACATAGGCGACGTGAAGAACTTCGAGGCTGCGGAAGGGATCGAGGAGCCCCTCCTACATGACATCTGCTACGCGGAGAACACGGATGATGCTGAGGATGAGGACGAGGTGAGCTGCGAGGAGGACATCGTGGTGGGAGACATGGACCAGCCGCCCATCCTCAGCCTGGCCGGGTCCAGTGACGACATCATCGACCTCACATCCCTGCCCCCTCCGGAGGGCGATGACAATGAGGACGACTTCCTGTTACGCTCCTTGAACATGGCAATCGCCGCTCCGCCACCTGGCTTCAGAGACAGTTCCGACGAGGAGGACTCTCCGGGCCAGGCAGCCTCCTTCCGCGAGGACAAGGAGCGAGGCGGTGAGCTGCACAACGACGAGATCCCCGTGTCCCTCATCGACGCCGTGCCCACAGGCCCAGAGGGCAAGTGTGAGAAGGGGCTGGACAGTGCCGTGGTCTCCACGCTGGAGGCCCTAGAAGCCCTGTCCGTGTCTGAAGAACAGCAGACCAGTGACAATTCAGGTTCTTTCACCATTGTTACGTTTATTCAGTGATAGCCATTTCATGTCATCCTTGCAAGCCACTTGCCCTTGGAATCCTGTTCCGTGGTATCCACCACCTCACACCTGTTCCATTTCATAAATGTGCTCAAACAGCCATCGCAGGGTCTGTTTTGGGGTTGTTGTTTTTTCTGTATGTGTCTGTATTTTCCTTTCATTTTTATTTTTGTTGTTGCTATTTTTGTTATGTTTTGTTTTGCTGTTTGGTTTGTTTTTTTTTTTTAACTTTTTAACATGTGGCACTCCCCCCTCCCCGATTTACAGAACAACTTGTGCAATAAACTCAGAGCCCTTCTGTAAAGTGGGAATGCTTCCCTTTGCTTTTTTTAAAGCTGACAAACCCCATGTCCTTCCATGTCTCCCAGTTCCTGTGCCCGTCCATTAACTGCCTCTTGTTTTTCACGGCCTGCAGGTGTAGCCATCTTGCGGGCCTACAGTCCCGAGTCTTCATCAGACTCGGGCAATGAGACGAACTCTTCTGAAATGACAGAGAGTTCGGAGCTGGCCACGGCGCAGAAGCAGTCCGAGAACCTGGCCCGCATGTTCTTGGCCACCCACGAAGGCTACCACCCCCTGGCCGAAGAGCAGACGGAGTTCCCTGCCTCCAAGCCTCCCCCTGGCGCCTTGCCCCCCAAGTCCTCCCATGCCCTGGCGGCTCGCACAGCGGCCGACCTCCCCCCCAAAGTCGTGCCTTCCAAGCAGATCCTTCACTCGGACCACATGGAGATGGAGCCTGAGACGATGGAGACCAAGTCAGTCACGGACTATTTCAGCAAACTGCACATGGGGTCGGTGGCCTATTCTTGCACTAGCAAGAGGAAAAGCAAGCTGGCTACTGGAGAGGGCAAAGCGCCCCACAACGGGAGCGTGCCAGGGAAAAAGCAGCAGGGGACCAAAATAGCCGAGGGAGAGGAGGACGCCAAAGGGACGTTTGGGACTGTGTCCTCCAGGGACAGCCAACACCTCGGCGCTTTTAACCTGGAGAGAACTGCCTTTCGCAAGGACAGCCAAAGATGGTACGTGGCCGCCGACGGAGGGGCGGCCGAGAAGACTGGCCTGGAAGCAGCCGCAGGGAAAAGCTTTGCAAGAGCTTCCAGGGAGGCCGAAGGGAAGGAGGAAGGGGCTCCGGCTGGCGAGGCCACTGAAGGCCCCGCGCTCGGCCCAGAGGACCACTTCTTAGCTGAAGTGGCCTGTGTATCCTCCGCCCAAGACATGAGCAACCCGGAGGACGCCGACTCATCCACCCATGAGCCTCCGCCCAAGCTGCCGGAGGCCGAAGAGAACGTGGCCCGGCTCTGCGAGTACCACTTGGCCAAGAGGATGTCGTCGCTGCAGAGCGAGGGCCACTTTTCGCTGCAGAGTTCCCAGGGCTCCTCAGTGGACGCGGGCTGCGGCACGGGCAGCAGTGGCAGCGCCTGCGCCACGCCCGTCGAGTCCCCCCTGTGCGCCTCCATGGCCAAGCACCTGATCCCTGAAGCTGCCGGCAAAGGCGTCCCCTACCTGGCCCCAGAGGAGAGAGCCGCGGGCCTCCCGGGCCACGGAGCCCCGTTTAAGGAGGTCCACCCTCAGCCGGAGGGGATGTGCCCTCGGATGACAGTGCCTACGATGCACACAGCCATTAATGCCGAACCCCTGTTTGGCACTTTGCGAGATGGATGTCATCGGCTCCCCAAGATTAAGGAAACCACAGGTACAGCAGTGATGAATCTTGCTCTTTACACACCAGGGCTGTGGAAGCCGCATGCACAACACACCTCAAAAGGCAAAGGCTGAAAGAACAGCAAAAGGTCGGATAAGCAGAAGAGGCTGCCGAAGTGTAGTTGGGCTCAATAGAAATCCTGGGTCACCCAGTGCTGTTTAAATACTGAGTCTCGAGATCTGGAACAATAGTGACAATGCCTTTTGCTCTTTTTACTCTTCCTCTCTGTTTGCTTTTAGAATTTGATGGGGCAACCTGACCTTTATAAACTCAAAATGGAGGCTTGGAACAGCACTTGGGCCAACTCTTAGAACACTGTATCTCTTAGAGTAGTAAAAGAGTTGCATTTCTTTCTAATTTCTAAGTTTGCCTTTTCACTCATGAGAGGTGATGGTGGTGGTGGTGGTGGTTGTGTAGTTTCGAGCTGGAACTGAGTCATAGCTGATTCTTCAGTGGGTTTTCAGAGGCAGGAAATCACCCGGGAGGAGACTGTCCAGCCCGCGTGCCTTTGTGATTGCAGCACACACGCTTACTAGACCACCAGATAACAGAGCAGGGTTTGAAGGAGATGGGAGACGTTGGGCAGAGATCCTTAGCTCCCTTGCCCGCCTGGCATGGATCCTTCCAGAGTCTGCCCTATTCCGTGCAATTTCTAAGACTCTTTTCGAGGAAAATTCTGAAGTAGCTGATATATTCCAGTGGGAGAGGTTTGGACGGCGTGCTCCATTCCCCCCCAAATCTTAAAGTTCAGACACAAGTGAAAACAAGAACAGAGCTCCTTATGCCTGCCCTCACCAGCCTTCTACCCCCAGTGAGCACATAGCCCTTTGCCAGCCTTCGTACAGCAAAGGCAGCCACTCTTTTCATGTTTTCTAATTGTATCAATAGTTTCTTACCCTATGACTCGGAATTAGCAGCAGTGTATTTATCTTGGGTTGGATTGGGTTGGGTTGGGTTGGTTAGGTCAGTATAGGTGATACTGAGATCTTCTGTTGGTCATTTTCCACACCTAGATTACTTTCAGAAAACCCGCCCCTGGCTCCACTAGATTAGGACAGCTGCCTTGGGAAGGCTGCCTGTGAATATCACCCATGTACTGCTTAGATCACATCTTCTCCTCTAAACCGGTTAATTCAGGACGTTTTATGCAGAATGATTTACCTAAGTGGCCCCTTGCTTCGTCTACAAAGATTACAGTAATTTTCTTTATGTGACAGCTTTTGTGAGAAGAGTCGAGTGCTGGAGTTAGCATCTTGACTTCCAACCCTGGACCAGGGAAAACATCCAGGGGTTCTCTTCGCATTCATCAAACTAGGAAACATCTTTAGAGAAAGTAATCAATACAGAAATGAACCTAACTCCTTGAAACTGATGTATATTAATTATGTTGCGATCATCTACGTGTAGGATGTATGTTTTCTAATAATAATGCAGTGTTTTCAGATGTACTTACGGGGATCAAGACAATTAATGAAATTCACTTGCCTCCTTGAGCAAGAGGGCATGTCTAGAAATCACAGGTTTCAGTATTTCCTGGCCTTTCTTGAAAGAGAAGGCTTTTGTGAGCTCTCCGGAGGCACTGACATAAGGCAGCCCTTCTAGAAGGCACCACTGGGGAAGGATAGGCGTCATGCACAAATGCGGTGGAATGGGCGCCTCGGAGATGCTTAATGATTCTCTCTGTTTTTCTACTCCCCCTAGTGTAGCTTTGACAGAGCCTGGGAAGGAGAGACAAGGAGGCATGCCTTCAGCTTGGTCTCAACATCCTGAAGCTGATCCCATCCTGCTACCATCAACCATTCACTTGGAATCAAAGGTGCCAATTGAAAATCAAGACCCTAATGATTTCTCCCAAGCAAACCAGGCATACGGAGGGGCTGTGAGCTGGAGGCCACCGGCCCCGAGAGGAGGAAGCCTCGGGACACCACCTAGCCAGAGGGTGCTGAGACGAAGCAGCAGTGCCCTCCTGGGATCTGTAGGCCTGGACCCCCTCCGAGAGAAGGTCACGGGTGCGGTCAGTGTCAAGTGCCCAGGTATCACGGAAGCACCAGAGACCAGTTCGGAGAGACACGTGGAACTCCCCCTGGGGAAGAAGCTCACCAAAAGTTTTTCCCAAAGCTCGATGCACTTCAGCGTCGAGGGAAAGGCCCATAAAAGGTCCCCGGTGACTCAGAAAGACTCAAAGCTGTACAGGACATTACCCTTGCGGAAGCTGGAAGGCAGCAACTGGAGGTGCCGAGGACCTTTTAGCTACTGCTTCCTGAACCGAGGGCAGGATGATGATGGGGATGAGGACGATGAGGGGGAAGAGGTCACCCGCAGGGTCTCTTGCCTCTATCAGCCGCAGATGACTCAAGCCATGCCAGAGCCAAGCAGCCCATCCCTGGCTGTTGAGATTCCCAGGAAAGGAGAAGAGCTGTCCAAAGGCTCAGTGCTGAAAGCCTGGGAGGAAGACCTGAGTGGCCCAGATGACTTGGACTTCAGCAACCTGGCTTTTGACGCCCGGATTGCACGAATAAATGCCCTAAAAGAGAGCACATACTCAATGCCCGATGGGTTCCTCGCAGCCCAGAATGATGCCAATGAACTCCTCTGCCTCGTCAGGGCAACCACGGGGAAGAGGGAGGAGCCGCGCCCAGAAGCGTATGACCTTACGCTTTCTCAGTACAAGCAACTGTTGTCCATCGCATCCAGACAGTTGGGAAGTGCCTGTAGGAAAATGGCAATGGCCGAGAAAAGCCCAGAGGAGATGCTCCTAGCCATGGCGTCCAGCTTCCAAGTGCTCTGCTGCCTAACGGAAGCTTGCATGCGCTTGGTTAAAGTCGTGAACTCGGAAAGCCAGCGGCAGGAGATTGTAGCAAAGATCGACGAAGTGGTCATCAACTACATTTGTCTCCTGAAAGCCGCGGAGGTCGCTGCTGGGAAAACGGTTGGGGATCCCACTGTTGGACTCTCAATGCGACATTCAACCACCATGGCTGCTATCGTAAGCACACTAACACGTTCTCTCAAGATGCTTTTAAATAAATAAAGTGTGAACGTCCCGTCATAATCTACCTTTGCAAAGCCATACATGAACTTTGATTTACTTTATGTGTACGATGAACAGATGTCTCCTTTCTTCTGTCTGTATATTTTGTTATTTTATATAAAATAGGAGATAAAAGTCACATTGATGAAATGTTGAAATGTACTAATCAGATATATTCTGTTTATATTATACATATATATATACATGTAAAAGAAATATATTAAGAAAGTGATGACATTTGGCTATTTTTCATATAGTCGAAACTCCAGGTATATGATGTGAAATTTTAAATTCTACTGTGTTAGAGAAAATCAATGACCCTAGTCCATTTCTTTCCAAGCGGACACTTGGAGACCATATCATTCATGTTTAGAAGGACAAAAGAAATACATCAATCACAATGTATATAAAACAGTAATTATGTTTTAAAGGTATGATTTTTAAGCATTGGAAATAGCAAAAGAGGTTTAAAATTCAAGAAGCTATTATGACTTACTAGAGGAGATATATATATAAAATAAATCAAGTTTTTGCTCATAATGGTTGGTTATCTGTTGCTTTCTTCAAAAAAACCTCAAATTCTGAATTGTGTCTTACTCCTTTGGGACCACCAACAGGGTGGAGAGTAGATTCTACTGTGTCAGCGGAAATGCTCTTCACAGCATTTACTCAAACAGAAGAGCAGAAGAAATGATGGCACAATTCTAGGCTAATGCCTAGGGTTATACATGATTTGATTATATAAAATGAAAGGAATTAATAATACCAGAATTATTGCTTGGTGAAAGCAGGTATCTATTTTGACTATAGGCCAGAATACATAAATGAAAGACTCCATCCTTCCCTTCAACTCAACTGTGAAACTCAGAATTCTCTTCAGCATAAGAGAACTAAAAGGATTTGCAAAATTACCCAAAGGGACATTCAATAGTCCTGCAAAGGCAACATCCGAGATCACAGCTCTCATCATGGGGCTTCGCGTGTCAACTCTACCAAGGCCAACACTTCAACCTAATATTGGGGCAGGATTTCTAACTAGGAATGTTCCAGAGAAACCAGGGCAATATGGCTACTCTACTAATAGCAGCCAGGATTAAAGAAATGATAATAAGCCACTGCCACTAAGTGGATTCTGACTTCTTGACTTCTTGTGACCCTGTATGGTGAAGTAGATTACTCAAAGGCTTTCCAAGACTGTAAATCATTTTTGTTGATAATATTTATTTTATTTTGGTTTCCATGTAAAATTCATATACGTTCTGTTTCATTCATATATTATGTTCAACACAGTTCTCTGTTCATGTTGTGTTTCATAGTATAATTCCCCTACATTGATCACCATTAATCCGTGCCCACCATTATCTCACCTTTTCAGGTTCCCATGGGATCTTTCTTAATTTCTTCAACCTTTCACCCTGCCCACAACTCTGTAACCCTCTCCTTGCCCTCAGCCCCCCTCCTCCTTCCCCTTCTCACTTTGGACTTTTATGCACATCTTACTAGTAATTCTTCGCATTTCACAATAATGATCTTATGCAGTACATGTCCTTAAGAGACTGAGTTCATTCAACATGATGCTCTCCAGTCTCTCCCCAGTTATGTAGTACTTTTCAAAACCATTGCTTCTGAGTGCTGCATAGTATTCCATTGTGTAGATGTACCACAATTTCTCAGTCATTTCATTTGTTGATGGGCATTTTGGCTGTTTCCATTCTCTTGCTATTGTGAATAATGCTGCTACGAACATCCATGTACAAATCTCTGTTTGTGCCTCAGTTCTCATTTTCTTGGATTATATTCCAAGCAGTAGAATAGCTGGGTCATATGGAATTTCTATGTTCTGTCTTTTGAGAAAATGCCAAGTGGCCTTCCAGAGTGGTTGTACCATTTTACAATCCCACCAATAGTGTATGAGGATTCCTAATTCTCCACATCCTCTTCAACATTTATTGCTTGCTGTCCTATTAAACTTTGTCACTGCCACTGGGTTGAGATGGTATCTCATTATGGTTTTGATTTGCATCTCTCTGATTGCCAGTGATTTTGAGCATTTCTTAATATGTCTGTTGGCCATCCAAATGTCTTCTGGGAAAAGTCTTTCCATGTCTTTTGCCCATTTTGTAATTATCCGGTTTTTCCTTCTTGAGGCCCTGTAGGATTCTGTAAATTTTTGTTAGGAGATCCTTGTCTGAGATGGCATTGCCAATGTTTTTTTCCAGTCAGCAGGTTTTCTTTTTACCCTATTGAGAAAAGTTTTTGATGTGCACAGGGATTTAATTTTTAGAAGGTCCCATTATTCATCAATGTTATCCTCTCCTGGTTGTGAATTTCTGGCTGTATTTGTCAGCCTCTTTAAACCATAGGCTAGGTCTTCTAAGTTTGGTCCCAGTTTGTCTGTTATGATTTTTATGGTTTGGGGCTTTATTCCCAGGTCTCTAATCGGTCTCTGATCCACCTTGAGTTGATTTTTGTGTATGGTGTGAGATGTGGATTCTGTTGCAGCTTTCTGCAGTTAGCAGTCCAGTTATGCCAGCACCATTTGTTGAAGAGGTTGTCATTTCCCTATTTGGTGGGTTTTGTTTCCTTGTTGAACTCCAGCTGACTGTAGATAGATGCTTTAATTTATGGGTTCTGGATTCTGTTCCATTGGTCTATGTGCCTGTCATTGTACCAGTACCATGCTGTTTTGGTTACTACCATTGTGTAGTGGATTTTAAGATCAGGGAGTGCTATGCCTCCCACCTCATTCTTGTTCTTCAGAAGTGCTTTGCTTATTTGAGGTCTCTTTCCTTTCCAAATAATCTTGCCAATTGCCTTTCCTAGCTCTTTGAAAAGTTAATTTGGTATCTGTATTGAGATTGCACTGAACATGTAGATTGCTTTTGGTTGGATTGGTATTTTTCACTATATTGTGTCACTATATGACCAAGACTGTAAATCTTTACTCAAACAGATCACCTTAGCACTCTCTTGTGGTGCTGCAGCTGGAGGTTCAGACCACCGACTTTCTAAATCAGCAGTCCAGTGCTTAACCTTCTGTACAACAGAGGACCTTAATAAAGACCAGAACTCAAACCCACCGCTGTCTAGTCACAACCAACTCAGAGCTGGCCCTCTAGAAGTTTCTCAGAGGCTGTAAATTGCATGGGGGAGATTGAATATCTTTCTCCCACATCATTGTGGGCGGATTCGAACTGCCAGAGAGATGCCACCTTTGGGTCATCAGTACAATTTCCTGTAGACTATACCACCAGAGCTCCCTAATAATGCAGTGCGTATTAAATGTTCAGATCTGGATGGCTGTTAAAAAATAAGAAGGCTTAAAAACCCAGAAGTGGTAGATTTGGCCATTTTAAGTGAAACTGATGGACTGCAGAGACATTTTTAGACCTCTTATTTTTAAAAATACATTTTTGGATCAAAACAAAATGGTGCCAAGCTCTGCAATGTTAACATGAAACTGGTAGATATATCTTTACTCTGTAGGTCATGCATCACTCAGACCACACACACACCCTCCTTTTTACGTGAGGGGAGGGAATTTTCTGCTGAGTTATTTCCAACTTATATCTCCTCCTGTGTATATCCCAATAGAACTTTGTTTGTTGGGTCTTCAGTGGTCATGAGTTTTCAGAAGTATGAACCTTTCCTTTAGAGGTACCTCTGAGTGAACTTGAACAACCACCTTTCAGTTAATAGCCAAGCAGTCAGCTGTTTGAGTCATCCAGAGACACACTTTTGTCTAGGTGGATATTTAAGACCCAACAGGAGTAGGTTAGATCCAAATACTTCCATTGTGTAGCCTACTTGACAGGAAGCATAACATAGCCTATACTTGCTATCTCTTCCTCATTTGTCAAGTTGATTCCAACTCACAGTGACCCTCCATTTGGGTTTCCAAGGCTATAAATCTTTGCAGGAGACTGCCCATCTTTCTTCCTAAAGAGTGACGGGTGATTCTTACTGCTGACCTTTTGATTACCATTACGCACTGTGCCGCCAAGTCTCCTTCGATAATAAAAGACACACATTCCCATAGATTGCGGTGGACTTGTGTTAGGAGCTTGTGTTACTGTAAATAACATTCCATTAAAAAATAAACCATTATTTCATTGTAAGTATAATTCTAAGTCTTGGTGTTTTAATATTGAGATATATTAATGGTGTTTAAGGGCGATTGATGGTTCAGTGGTAGAATTCTCACTTCTATGTGGGAGGCCCAGGGTTGATTCTCAGCCAGTGCACCTCAGAGTCATTACCAAGTGGCCAATGGAGGCTTTCATTTGCTATGATGATGGACACATTTCAGTGGGCGAGGAAGAAAGACCTGGTTATGTACTTGCAAAAATCAGCCAATGAAAACCAATCACATGATCACAACCAATCCTGAGAATGGTGCAGGGCCAAGCATCATTTCCTTCCATTGTGAATACACAGGGTCAACACAAGTTGGGGACTGACTTGACTGCAGCTCACAACAGCCTTAGCAACAAAGCGTTCACTGGGGGAAACCCTTTAACATTTAGGGGGTGTATGTCAAAATATACACAGTGAAAGTATACACCAATTCAACTCTCTACATGTGCAATTCAGTGGAAATGGTTACAGTCTTTGAGTTGTATCACATGAGAAAAGCTTAATGAAATAATTCTGTGTTCCAAAATACTAACACATTAATAGGCTGTATCTCTACATCGCATGCTGTGTTAAACATGTCACAAATATCTTCTAATTTCAGCACCACAACAATATATACATTTGTGCTTTGATAGTTTGCCAGTGTTTTTGGCCTAAGTCGACTGGCCAAGATAGAAAATAAGTCTGAAACTAGTTGCTTCTGAGTGGAGAACTCTATTGTCACCAGGGATCCAAGATCCTCCCATGTTTCTGCTTTTCCAATCTTACCATTTCCATCTTGGGCTAAAAACTCTGTGAGAGTTCCAGCCATCATATTCTCATCCCAAGAAGAAAATATTAGAAAGGGGGAAATGGGTAAAAACATCTCATGCCCTCTGTTGGATCCACTTTAAAGAAATTGTTCCAGAACCATCATCTGACACATTCCATGAAACTGTAGGGTCAGTTATGAGTCAGTTCAAACTCAAAGACATGAGTAAGAGCTGCTAACTGAAAGGTCCATGGGAGAAAAATGTGGGAGTGTGCTTCCCTAAAGATTCCAGTCTTGGAAATGGGCAATACTATTCTCTCCACAGGGCTGCTATAAGTCGGAATCAACTTGACAGCAGTGGGTTTAAGAGCAACAAGGGTGGTCTTTTTGTTTGTCAAATGGCTGCCTGACAGAAAAATCAGAGTCTGATATCAAAGTCAAGAAGAGAACGTACTGAAGGTAGGCAAATAGGACCCCTGCCTCACTGAGCCTGGCATTCAGGATGCCTTCCCTAGCTCTACACTGGAGTCCAGCTTTGGCATTGAAAGTCATATGATGCCAACAGATAGAGATGCAATGAATTGACCAATCACCTTAATCATGACCTTTATTCCTAAACAAACACTAGTCAATATAGAAGTTATTGGCCT